TTAATATTACACTGTATATGTTATATATACACTGTATATATTTCTGTATATTCTCTATAACATATATAATATATAGTTTATAATATATATAGTATATAATATATACACTGCATCTATATAATACACTATATATATATTTCGTATATAGAATTTTTTTCACATCTTGACTTCATTAGACTGTATGCTCCTTGGGGGCAGAAATATTTTTGCCTTTCTTTGTATCCCCAGCACTTAGCTTAATAGAGGCAGCTAGATAGCATAGTGGCTACTGTATTGGACCCAGAGTCAGGAAGACTTGAGTTCAAAACTGCCTTTAGATACTTCCTAGCTGTGTGGCCCTGAGCAAGTCACTTAACTGTTGCCTGCCTTAGTTTCCCTATCTACAAAACAGGGACAATAACAGCACCTACCTTCCCTTGTTGAAGACAAAATGATATATTTATAAAGTGCTTTGTAGACCTTAAATCTCTCTTTAAATGCTTGCCATGAGTACTTATTGACTGACTCAGCTGAAAAGGGGGCTGTGGGGAATACCCTCAAAGCCTGGGACCCAACACTTGCTGTCACCATCCACAGAAATAAGGTAACATTTGGCTTGTTCTCCTCAGGGTGAGAGTAACGGGAAGAAGTTTCAAAGCAGCAGATGTAGGCTTCCCTTCAGGAAGAGCTCCTAAAGAGAGCTGTTCAGCAGGAGAATAAGCTGTCTCACACTGTAGTGAGCTCCTTGACTAGAGGTCTTCCATGACCGCCAGTCAGTTCTTCTTTCCAGGAGATTCTGGGAAGCACTAGGCTAGCTGGTTGCTGAGGTTCCTTTTCCAGCTGAGACTCTTGAGAGTAGTTTGACCCTCAACTCCAGGGCAGAGGCCAGTTGCTCCAGACAATTTCATTGCTCACATTTCTATAAGTGACTCACAGGTTAGGATCAGAGAAAGGTTGGAGCTGGAAGGGAACCATGAGGTCTTTTAGTACTGGGGTGTCAAACTCAGACAGAAAAGGGGGCTGCTAAATTGTACAAAAGGATTCCAGTGGGCCACACATCAAACCTGAAAACTACATTTTATCTTTATTGTGTTTTTATTCATTTTGTTAAATATTTCCCAGTTACACTTTAATCTAGTTCTGCTACACTCAGGAGTGCTGTGGGACACAAGCTGCGTGCCTGACTCCTCCGTTCTTGTTTACTCCTCTCACTTGGCAGAGGGCACCAGTCTCTCATTAGAGCTCTAATAATTAAAAAAGGCGTTTTCCTTCACTTCATAATCACCCCCATTTTAAAGAAACAGACTCAGAGGGGTTGTGACTTGCCTGTGGCCCCATAGTAGAGGTGGACAATCACTCCCATGGGAGGGGAAGCAGGGCACTGCAGAAGGGATCTTGTTCAAGTGAGCCTTCGAAGTCCCTTCCAGTTCTTTGAATCTGTGGCTTGGGTTCAAGGTGACCCAAATTGACCCCTAAGGTCCTTTCTAACACTGAAAATCTAGGATTCTTTCAAAAGCCAGAGAAGATACAACAGGCAGACCTTGTCCTCAGCAGAATTTGCTGCCTCTGGATTTTTTTCTTCAATGTCTGAGGTGATTAGCCTGAGCCCCAACCTGCTGATCACTCCCGCCCATTCATCCTTCTGGAGCAAGAGTTGAGTCCCTTTTCCAGGCAGCTCTCGATTTTGGTCTTGCTCTGTTCGACATTTTCATCAGTGACTTGGATAAAGGCACAGACGATGTGTTTCTCAAGCCTATGCTGGTTTCAGAGCTGGGAGGTATGACTGCCATGTTGGAAGTAGGCTCCAAAAAGGGCTTGGCAGGTTAGAATGGATCATCTCTATTATGACCAGATTTAGTTGGAATAAATGTAAAGTCTTGCTCCTGAGTTCACAAGAACCAACTGCACAAGTATAGGATGGAGGAGGTGTGGCCAGAAAACCACATGTGAAGGAACGAACGAAGTTGTCTTAGTGTGAGCTGCAAACTGAGCGAGTCATTCTGAAAAGACTCCCCTGGTCCAGTGGAAAGCCCACTGACCTTGGAGTCAGTGGACCGAGGTTTGAATCCCAGCTCTGTCACTTCCTAGCTGTGTGAATGCGTGAGAGGCCCATGAGCGCGACAAACCTTTCTCTTTGTGTGTGAGATGGGGTTAATAACAGCCCCCACTGCATAGGGTGGTTGTGAAGACCAGAGGAGGGAAGGCGTTCAAAGCACTGTATTCCCACATAACTCTGCCATGACCAGACTTTGCCTGGTGTTCTGTTTGTTTCTGGAAGCTTCTTTTTAGAAAGGGCATGGACAAACCAGAAAATGTACAAAGGAAAGTGAGCAGGATAGGAAGGGGATTGGAGATCATGTCAACTGGCCAAGAAAACCAGTCTGGAGGTGAGATTTTTGTCAAAGGTAGGATTGCTGTCTTCAAGTACCCAGTCCAATGAGCATTTGTTTAGTGCCTACTATGTTTGGGGACCTATGCTAAGCAATGCAGAAACAAAGTGACAACATTCCCTGCTCTCCCTATACAGTATACACAGGTTAAATATATGCTTTATCTGTGAGAAGGGGCACTGATGGATGGCTAAGGGCATTCTCGTAGGACATGAGCCTGCCTGAGCTGAGCCTTCAAAGATGCTCAGGATTCCTGGAGGTGGAGATGAGGAGGGAGCACATTGCAGGCACAGGGGACAGCCCATGCGATGGCATGGGAGATGATGATGGATCACAGGATCCTTAGATGTCATTTGGTCCAAATTCCTCTTCTTTATTTTACAGATGAGGAAACAGCCCCAGAGAGGCTAATCACTTAAGTCCCACAGTTAAGTAGCAGAACTAGGATTTGAATGGAGGCCTTCTGATTCCCAAGCCGGGCCTCATACCACCACACCTTGCTGTCTTGTGGAGTTTAGGGAGAAGCCATCAGGTTAGTTTGGCTGTAACACAGAGTGTGAGGTGGGTAATGTGAAATAAGCCAGGGAAGGTAAGCTGGAGTCAGATTATGAAGGGCTTTACATGCAAAGCTGAGGAGTTTGTACTGTATAGGGCAACAGGGAGCCATGGAAGATTGTTGAAAGCAAGGGAGGGATGTGGTCAGACCTATGCTTTAGGAAGATTATTTTGGCAGTTTTGTAGGGGGCAGAGTGGAAAGGAAAGACTAGAAGTTGGGAGTCCAATTAGTAGTCTTTCAATAATCCAAGACAATAAAAATTCAATGATTCACAAATCAAGAGGACCTAAACTTGGATGGTAGCCATGGAGATGAACAGAAGGAGTAGGGGAGAAATATGGAAACAGAATCAACAAGACTTAGAAACTAATTGGATATGGGGGGGGGGTAAAGAGGGAAGGGTCCTGGGTGACTCCAAGGCTGTGACTCTTGGTGAATGGAAGGATGGTGGCATCCTCAACAGAGAAAAGTTTGGAGGAGCGTTAGGTTTAGGCAATGAAGATGGTTCTATTTTGGACGTGAACTTGAACATGGTGATGGTACATTCCAGGTGGAGATGACAGTTACTGCTGTAGGAATGGAGGTCAAGACAGATTAGAACAGGAAACATAGATCTGCATAGAAATAATAATAGAACCCATAGGGGCTGAGATCACTGACAGAGAAGGTAGAGAGAGAGAGAGGAGGGCTCAAGACAGAGCCTTATTGGTCACCCAGAGTTAGAGAGTGGGGCATACTCAAATAGGTAGGACAATGAGAAGAAAGCAGGCCACAAAAAAAACAAGGAGACAGTTAACTTGGAGGAGCGGAGTGATCAACTATGAAGTGCTGCACTGAGGTAAATAACTGAAGACTGGAAATAGGTTGTCCCATTCAGCAAGGTTAGGCCCTTGGTAACTTTGGAGACAGCAAATTTAGTTGTGTGGTGAGGCTGGAAGCCCAACTCTCAGGGGTTGAGAAATGAGTGGGAGGCAGTGTGTGTAGAGGAAGTGGAGGCAATATGTGTAGAAGACTTCTAGGAATCTGGTGGTGAAAGGGAGAGGAAAGAGATAAGATGATAGCTTGAGGTTATGGTAAAGTCTTAAGGATGGGTGAGACTGGCATATTTGTTGGAAGAAGAGAAAAGAGAGGGAGTGGGGAGGGAGCAAGAGATGGGGAGAGAGTGACAGAGGCAGAAAGAAGTTGAAAATTTGGGTATCTCAGGGGCAATCTGCCAGAGGAGGTGAGAGATGCCATTTTTTCTCTAGCAATTAAAAGCATAGGAGCAAAGACTGAGAAACAGTGTTGAGGGGTTCTGAAGGAGAGGGGGACAAGAGATACAAGTTCACAATAGATGACCTCTATGTTCTTGTAGAAGGTACAGGGCCTCTGCTAAGAAGTGAGATGAGGAAGTAGCAGCAAGTCTTAGAGAGGCACATGCCTTCTGGTGATGTCATGAAGGTGATTCTGGCTGGGCTGGAACAGCCAATGTAAAGTTAGCTAATCAGTTACATTAGACTAAAGGGATCACTATGCAGCAATGAAGGAACATGTGAAATTAGCTAACAAAGTTGCTGTGGACTCATCAGCAGGGAGCAGAGAAGTCAGATGCGGGGGCTACCAAAGGCTGGGATTTGGAAAGCATGAGCAAAGATAAGCCCAGGGCCTTGACAGCAGTCTGTGGATTGTAAAGTAAGGCTTGGTGGGGTGGCAGTTAGAAAGCTACAAGCATTCAGGTTTTACAGAATGACTTACATTTTTACAGGTTTTATAGAAAAACTTCCTAAAAATGTAGCACTATTCAGAAACTGACTGGGCTCAGGGGGTTGAGAATTTCTTCCTTGGAGGTGTTTAAGTGGAACCGAGCCCATCACCAGTCAGGGATGCTGCAGGTGGCATTCCTGCTTCAAATATAAGTTGGACTAGATGTGAAATCTGGATGTGACTAAAGAGCACTTTCTGGCACTAGGATTTGCTGGCTTTGACCGAAGTCAGCAGTCACTACCCACTAAACCCAGGCTACTTCCAGCTCTCAACAACACTAACCTTTTTGGTTGGACAGCTAAGACTCATCTACTCAATTTCAGCAGACAAAGTAGATTTGAAATCTGCATTTAATGCAATATTGGCCAATATGTTCTACAGGTGGGTAGTAGTAACAGTAACTGAATCGGCATTAACAAAACATACAGCACCTTCATGTACAGCACACGCTCTATTCTCAGTCTCCAGGAGCATCTTCAGAAACACCTGGGCCAAAGTCTCCTCTAGAACATCATGACATCAGACTCACAAGGACAGATGAGAGCAGACTGGGGTGTGAGAACAGACCTAACGTCTCAACTCTCAGGCCCCTGCCACCTAACAGGACAAACACAGCATACAGCCCTCTTCATCACACTCGTCAGCCATCAGCCCCCCAGCAAAGCTAGAAAAATACTGTTCTGGTCTGTAAAACTAACAGAATGGCACATGGTGTGTAAAGGGACCCAGAGCCAGGGCCCCAGCCTTGTTTCAATACATCCAAAATTCAAGAGTCAGCGGAGCCCCTGGACTGAAGGCACACACAGCCTGTGAACCTTTTGGCATGGCTGTGACCAAAGGGGCCAATGGATTTTGAAAGGGTCTGTAGGATCTAAAAGATTTACCTGAACTAAAAAAGGGTAATTCAACAAGCTTCTCTACTTGGCTTCTCTGGCAAGAATACATGGGATCAGTAACCTTAGTCTCAAGTACAATCTCATTTTCTCTACATTTAAATTCATTCTTTAAGAGCTCTCTGTGGTGTTTTGGGGTAGGGATGGAGAGGATGGTGGGTAGTATGATTGTGGGTCACTTCACTACCCTGACAATATCCTGGAAAAATGAGTTCTGGCAGCCTGAGGGCAGGCAGCATGTGCTCTGTAAACATTCAGTGCTGCCCCCACTCCCTGTTAGAGAGATGTTCTCTAGACTCCCAGATCTGAGGAGCAGTTTTTGAAGCAGATGTACTATGCTGAGAATCGGGGTGAATACTTGTGTCCTAACATCCAAAGCTTCACCTGATGATGCCCTCCACTGCAAGCTAGATCTCAAAGGACAAACGCAGAATATATCACTTCCCCCAAATCTACCCCTGATGCTGCTTCACTGGTGCTGCTCCCATACTTTCAGTAAGAAGATGACTCACCTCGCAGTTATTTTGGCAAATCTAACACCATCCTTTTTGGTACCACCGAGCTCACATCACATCAGAAAAGAGCATTTTGTCTAAATGGGGCTTCTGTCTCCTTCCAAAATTGGCTCGGGCTGGCATGAAAAGGGAATTCTAAGATTATTCCTGTGTTCCTGCCTATTTGGGACAAAGTATGACTCTTAATTTGAAAAGCTGGTAACAGCAGAAACAATGGGTACAAATGATGAAAAGATATCCACACAGTTATGGTCAGGGCATATAATGCTGGGTGTCAAAGTCAATAAATATCTATTTAATTCTCTCTCCTCGGTTCATTCCGATTTATCGAAGTCGCCACTGAAGACAAGACGTTGACAGTCTTCAGCACCACAAGAAATTCCTACAAACAAATTCTAGGCCTGAAGATGTGTGTCATCTGGACTGGCAGAGAAGCCTCATTGTGTCCGGAGTTGATAGTCTACAAGAGAAAGAATTGAGAACAGTGGAGATGAGCGTCCGAGTCCACTGACAACTGCCATTCATCTCCTGCGCTCCCACTTCCCTCTCCTCTTTATCATCAGCAGATGAATGAAATACAGACATAACCAAACAGCATGTGTTTTAAAATAAAATTCTGACTACAGACTCAAGCTCAGTCTGCCTGAGCCGCTCTTGGCACCCTTCTACCTGTAAGGGCTCCCCACTCAGCTCTGTTCCTATGAAACTGAGAGCCCTTGGTAACATCGTTCTGCCTGTGTCCAAATTTTCTGGAGCCAATTAGTGACATTTGGGAACCTGTGTCAATACAATGATCTTTCTTACTCTAAAAAAGACAAGGTAAGAATGGGTGAGGAACCTGGATAATGGAATCAAACAAGAGGAAACACAGACTAACGTGTGTTGACAGTGTCTATCTCAATGGTCTATACTAAGGGATGGAAAAACCAGGAGTGAGCGGGGGAAAGACTCTGATGGATCTATGATTCTCCTGAACTGTCACTCTTTTTCATGATACAGATCGTGACCAGATCTTTCCTTCTAATCCCATGAAATTCTTCTCCATAACCCTGCCATAAATCCTTTTTAGGAGGTACACCCAATGTGCGAGAGGCTTTCCTCTAGGTTTGTTAACCTAACATGGGCACCACTGTAGCCCCTATGCTGTCCATTTGCTCTCTTGCTTGACTGGTTCACCTTCTTTTCTGGTAGTACGTCTCCTGGATGATCCATTTTTCACTATTTCTTGGGCATGTCATGTTTGGTAATATTGTAGCCTATTTATGCCCACCATTCATCTTTCCACTGCCCTTCTGTGTCACCTGAAGTTCTGATCTGCAGTCTCTAGATGGTAGTGTTTCACAATTTTCAGTCATGGTATCAACAGAAGAATATTGGTGTTAAAAGATGAATGTATAAGGAAGGAGCTTGGGATGGTTAATTTCCCAATATACTATAACATGTTCTCTTCAGTTCCAAACTTAGTTCACATTCTATCTGTAATACCTGTTTTTCAACCATTTATTCTCTTTCCTCCCTTTTAAATATTTGGATAGGTCATCTCTAAATGCTTCCACGCTTGTGTTGCCTACAACACAGACCTCGTCTGTGTGTACTTGGTCTGGTCCAGCTGTTTTTTGTGACCTCAGATGTCATATCCTCATGTAGCCAAGTTCCACTGTCACTGATGACTAAAATAGGTAACTAAAAATATTGGTAGATTCCAGTTCCATATTTTGGCCTATTTGTTTTTCTCCATCTAATTTTGTCTACAAATGCTCGCAGACTGATTTTGCTTATGTTATTTTGGTCTTATGCCAAACTGTCTGCAATCTCTTTCCTCCCTTCTACCAGTCTCAGCTTTTTAAAGAGGCAATCCAGCTCATTATCTTCTATTTTATTCCTCTGCAACATTTTGCACAAGTTTATGTATATTAGCCACCGTTACACTTGGCTGTCATGTTTCTTCCTGGCAAGAAGATCAAGCGTTGACAGGCTGAGGAAGTTTCTGGGCTCTTTTGGCCTTTTTGTTGTGATGATTACTCTTGTATCAGTTAAATTTCAGGAGAAAATTATTTTTTCCTTTCTCCATTTTCTAGCATTTTCCAGTGAGAGCTGAAGTTGTTATAAGGACTTGCAATGTCTTCTCAAATTTATTCTTTCCTCTTGTTTGGTGTTTATTCTAACCTTTAGTCTAAGTGGTCTGAATGCACACTAATGACTGATTTAGCAACGACCCCCCGCCCCAATAACCAGTTATTTTCTGTTTGTTAAGAGAGTCAATTTTAAGTTTTGTGATATCACTTAGTACTGTTATGTCCAGCACCTTCTAACAATCTTCTGGAAGAAAATATTCATGATATATAGGCAGGAGGCTTCTGAATAGCCTATGACCTTTTTAATTTTTGAATCCTGAACTATACTTTTTGTCCTGTTTTCCTATGCTCATCTTTGCAATGAAGTAACAGAATATCTGTATCTACATATATCAATATATATACTTACATATCTCATTATCTATCTATCTATCTATCTATCTATCTATCTATCTATCTATCTATCTATCTATCTATCTATCTATCTATCTAACTGCTGTCTTTGTTTGCAGGACTTCTTTAGTTCTTCATAGAATTTCTCTACCTCCACTAAATTTCTGTACTTGGTTCTTGGCAACAGATGTTGCTACAAAAACTGCAATGATCTTCTTATATTTATCATGAAAACTTCAAGGCGAGATAACTACATATTTCATGACAGGTTTCTTTTTGCCTTTGAGTACAAAACAAAACCAATTTTACTAACTCTTTTATTCAGCTCTTAAAGGAGAACGTTATCAGTGATCGTTCCATTTCTGTGCAGCTTCCTTGAGTTGTGTGTTTTCATTTATGATGAGTAACGTCAATATTGATATGGTTCCCTTCTGAGTTGCACAAAAGAGCTTAAAGACAGTTATTTTTCAGGGTTTTAATTAGATCACCAATCACAAATATATAGTGCGACCCAAAAGTCTGGACTACATCCCTAAGATATGATTCCTCTGAAAGGAAAAACAAAAAAGGTATATTTTCACTGTAAGCCACACTCAAGTTTTACAAAAGTCAGAATATAGAAAAAAGCACGGCATATTTCTGGATCATATTGGTTGTGAGGCATGAGAACAAGGCACCTCTCTATCCATAACCATCCTGAAATTTGGATGTCAGAGACAGGCCCATAGGTACGGCAGCCTGATAAGTGGGAAGCGCCCCAGACAGGGTAGGGTTTAGGTCCCAGCTCCAATACTTAATGGCTATGGACAAGTCACTTTTCCTCTATGAACCCATTTCCTAAAATGGGGACAATAATCTCTGCTTAGCCTCCCTAAAAGGGTTGGTGAGGCTCAATTGAGATTAATGTGTACAAAGTGCTTTGTGAACCATATATGCTGACAAATGTGAGCTACGTTCACGGGGTGGCGGGAAGGATGATGCTAATACCAAAGGATTTGAGACGTGACTGGCCAGAGTAACCCAGCTTACCTCCATTCTGGGTGATGTACCGAACCCAAGGCAAAGCTTGGTAACCACTCTTCTCAATGATCTTCAGGTAACGTACCTGCAGGGCCCAAGAGCAAACAATAAACATTTGCCTGTCCTCAGCAGAATACAATACCACCTTCTTGGTGACAGCCTGCTTTCCTCCTGAGAGAAGAGTTTACTGAGCTCCAGAATTTAGAAATGCTAAGCAAATGTTTCATTGTAAACAAATGCAGAAGCATGGAAAAGCAGCCAAGTACATGGTCCTCCTTTATTTTTAAAACACTGAGATAACCCAAGGATAACCTGCTTTAGTAGGTAGCGTAGGGATGAGGGAATCATGCATGACCTCTCACTAGGGCAGTGTCTAGGAATGAGACCTTTACTAGCAGTCAGGTAACCCATGCTCTAGTCTTGGCTCTGCCACTAGCTAGCTCCCTGTATGGACTTTCAGCAAGTGACTCCACCTCTCTGGGTCTCAGCTTCCTCACCTATAAAATGAGAAGGTGAGACTAAAAGATCTCTAAGGTCTTTCCCAGTTCTGACATTCTGTGTTCTAAGGGCTCTCCGGACTCTGAAATTCTATGTTCTAAGGGCGCTCCCCTACCCCCAGCTCTGACATTTTGTGTTCTAAGGGCTCTCCTAGCTCTAACATTCTGGCTTCTAAGGGTCCTCCCAGCTCAGACATTCCCTGTTCTAGGAACCCTCCCAGCTCTAACCTTCTATAGCCCTCTCAGCTCTGACATTTTGTGCTTTGATGCTTTCAGGGTTTTAAATTACTAACGGGTTTCAAAAGTTCTCATCTGAAACAGCTTTTAGCCTCTTCACTTCTATATCCCTGTCTTCCTTTTCCAATTAGATCTGCCCTTTTCCATTGCAAAAGAACACGAAGCAGTACCAGCAAGTAACAATATAAATATCTCCCCCATCCCCACCCCTCCCCAGCCTTGGACCTCACTTCCAGAAACTTTACATCATCACAATAAAGACCTGTATCCCTGAGGTGGTGAAGTATGGAATTTCAAACTTGACACTTATGGGTGGTTTTCCTTCTTTGTCCTCAGCTTCAACACTAGGCAGGCCAAAGTGAGCTCTCATCAGATACTCTTTCCCTCCCTGTGCAGAGAGGAGAGAGATGAAAGAGTAAATACTGAAACACAAGCAAATTTAGTCAACAGTCTCACCCCAAACCCTGACCACATTTTTGGCTGGCCTAAGTATTGGTTTAGAGTAATAAATTCACTGGGAAAAGTCCAAGAACGAGCACACATTTCTCACTTGCAATGGCTTCATGACAGCGAGTCATTCTCATGTACTATGCTTGCTTTCAAACTTTCTGCCAGTTTTACCAAGAAAAACAGCTGAAGCTATGTCTACAGCTGGCACCTGATAGAGAAGGAGGCAAAAGCTGAACATGAGTGGTGGATACATGCTAAAGAAGCAGGAATGATCTTCTAAAGGAATCTGCAGGACCCGGCCCACTTCAGACACAAACCACAAAATGGAAGTCAATCAGCTGAGTTTAGATTTCCTTGGGTTGGTGAAATCTGTACTAAGTGCTGAGGTTTCCAGCCTGACTAACTGAGTCAGACCCTCTCCAAAGTTCCAGTCGACTCCAGGTAGAGGCAAAGGGACAGAAAAAGCAGAAAGAGGACAAAAACCCTTCCTATGGGATCCCCAAAGCCCAGAGGACCCAACAAGAGAAGCCCGGGCTCTGGCTGTATCCTTGCGGCCCTCCATACCTGCCTCTCCAGTATGCGATGCTCTGACCAAGGAGAGATTTGTGCTTTACCTTCCACGTAGGGCCAACACACTTCTCTATACTTAGAATTCCTTCTCCCTGACCTGTGGAAATCTCATCCCTCTCTCAGTTGGTAAGTGCAGCTCAACTGCTTTCCTTCATCATAACTTTTCCTTCCTTGGGCCTCTAAGATCACTTGGTTTTCTTTATTTTGCATCCCTGGTCTACAGCTCTGCATTCAGTAGCTGTGGTACCCTGGACAAGTCACTGAACCTCTCTGGGCTTTACATCAGTATAATAGAGACAACAGCAATACTGCTTACTTCAAGAGGAAAGCTCTCTGGAAACCTTAATATGCTATTACAATGGAAACTGTGATTATTATTTTTCATTAGAGTTATCTTTCATTCTGAGCTTCCCTATTAAGCTGGAAACTTCTAGAAATCATGGAATGGGTCTTATCACCAATCTCCATGTGTGTTCCCCCACTAATGTAAGTTCCTTGAGGGCAGGAACTAGCTTTGCTTTTGTATTTATATCAAACATCCTCAGTGCTCAGCACAGAGCTTAGCACATAGTATGTGCTTAATAAATGCTTTTTCATTCATTCAACCATCTCATCTCTTTAATTTTCTTTAGTGCCAATCATGGGCACTGCATGTAGCAGGTACTTAATAAATGCACCAATCTGAATTTTCCTCATTCAGACTGTGGGGGGAGGGATTAGTGAAAAGCCTGAATTTTCAATTTAGAATTCACTTCTGGGTCTATACAGCAATAATCGACCAACCTGACAATATATCGATAAGTTGGGCTATCATCCAGGGCTAACAACCAGCCACTCTCTTGGTGCGCTTGAAGTTTTTTGAGAATCTTAAAAAAAGGGACACACGTGAGGGACGAGGCTAAATTTTCGGCTTTTAGATGGAGAAGAGGTGCTAGCAGTTTGGGGCTGAGGCCCCCACTCACCGGGAAGGATTTAATGGACCAAACAATCTCACTGTTCTCTGGAACCCACTTGACGTTCCCCACAGTGGTTTTGAACTTGGGCGAGTCGGCGTCATTGGGCACAGGAATGTGGATCTCTACGTTGTTTGCAGTCGATCGGCGTTTAAACTGGCTCTTTGCCTATAGAAAGGCCACAAACAAACTGAGCTTTCTTAGATTCACCATCCCTACTCCTTTATTGCAACCTGCTCTTTGCAAGCTGTGAAGGGACATGACTGCAGCTGTGGTCAGGAAATTGGGCAAGGAGGGAACTTTTTTCTGAGTAATATTATGAAAAGACTCTATAGCAGAATGGTACGGGGCAGAGGGAGAAACATTTACTAAACATATGCCAGAAAAGTGAAATTAAATCCCTACATGTTTGGCTTCTATTCAAGCCTTTGTGGATTAAAAAACAAACCAGACTGGGTCTTTGTGTTATTTTCATTGTATGACTAAGAGTAAAGACCTGCCTCTGAGTCCTAGCTCTAACACACATCAACTGTGTGACCTTGGGCAAGTCACTTACTGGTTTATGTTAATGAATGAATAAAAGCTGTTTTTTCAGTCTGCCCTGTGGGAAAAAGCAGCTGGCCACAGCCTACAAAGGGATCTCCTCTGGGAAGCCCAGCCTGCTGCCTTCCTCCTGAGTGGTTCCTTCTTCTTCTCTATTTCAGTTGCACTGCTCACCTCATCTTCACTCTAACAATCCGGGGGGCCGAGATCCGTCCTGCATACCACTGCTGATGGGGAGCTTCCAGCTCTGTTTCTGAATGGCTCTAGCTGGTTATAGAGTGATTCTCAATACTGGGCTGGCAACAACTTGCCTCCTGTAACTTTCACCCCTGTTGTAGCACTCTCCCTAGAACAAGCGCACTTTGTCTCTCACACGAAGGACCCTGGGAAGTCCTGCCTTCACAGCCTCCTTCCTGCCAGCCTAAACATTCCCTGTTCCTTCAACTGAATCTCCTATGCCATGGTTTCAAGGCCCCTCTCCACACTGGGCAGGTCCCTCTGGACATGACTCACTTCCTGTAATCCATTAGAGACTCATTAAGTGTCCAGCCAGTGTGGCTGAGCAGAAACAGCACTGGGTAAGTGACATCAATTCAAATTTTGGCTCTGATACTTAATAGCTATGAGATGGGCAAGTCACAAACTCCTCAGAACCTCCACTTTATTAGTAAAACAGGGATAATAATACATATGCACACAGAGTTAAGAGGAAAGCATTTTTAAAAGCTATAGAAATGTGAGATATCATAGTAGTGGTAATAATAATGATAAATATCACCACTATACTAATTACAATCTATAGCTAAATTTACATGGGTGAGATAAACCACGAGTTAAAATTCTCCTTTAAGGACAAGCAAAATTGCCTAGCATTTTCAAAGCAACTGTCCCCTACCTCACAGGACTGTTGTGACCAAAGTGTTTTATAAATCTTAAACTGTTATAGAAATGGAAGCTGTTACTACAACTACCACCACAACCAATAAAAAAAAATGGTTTAAGAACGAAATCTGTGTTTTGCCTGGTGGGCAGGATCCACTTAAAGCTGACCAGACTTCTGAAGGGGCAACCGACCTTAATCATGTACTCGATGCGGCTGTGGGAATGTTTTTCAATTACAGATTCGATCCATATCAAGGGCTTTACCTGGGAGGAGACACAAAGACCAAGAAAGTGAGGTGTCTGATTTTAGTGGCAATTTAACCCTTGTCAGAAACAGACACCTCAAAACTGTCTAACACAAGGCAATATATCAATATATCTATGTGTGTTTCTGGCAAACTGGTCTAAGACAGGGAAAAATCAGCAAAGCTTTTTTCATAGAATTAGACTTGGTAGCCCCCTAGAAAGGCTCAGAGCTCCATGAAGGTTGACACACAAGAAATGAAAGGTCCTCACTTAAGTCACCAATCTTCCATTTGCCCAGGACTGTACCCTCTGAAGAAGCCTGCTGGAAAAGTAGGACCTTTGGCTTCCTCCTCCCTGAGCATTAGGCCTACGGCATCTACTCCCAGACCTCGTGGTTTTCTTCATCTTCCTCTCACCTTGGCCAACATCTTCCTTAGGAGTATGAGGAGAGATACTGCTGTTCTAGAAAATAATGTCTGTATTACACAATTTTAGCCTATGAATCTAGAATGCCCTGCTTCCCATTCCCCAGCAATTCTACTACTACAGCCGTATTTAGAGCTATCCTATTTATAATAACAAAGAACTGGGAACAATGTTACCCAAGGACTAGGAAGTATGGCTAAAGCAGCTGTGGTATTGCAATAGAACATACTATTATTGTGCTGTAAGACATGACAAACATATATAGAGAAATATGGAGACTACTAACAAAGGGATGCAGAAAAAAAAGCAGAAATATATAAACAAATCAATTCTGACTACATTAAAAAAACTCACTAGCAACAAAACAATTCATTGGTAGAAAAGAAATTGGAATGGGACAAAGAAGCAGCAAACTTATTATTTCATTCAAGTTTACAGTACTATTTTTCTTCCTCTTTTAACTTAAAATGTAAATAGTTTGGATTTGATGGTTTTTATTACAGGTTTTTTCCATATTTTTATGTGATGATTTATTACATTTCTAAGAAAAATCATGCATATAAGATATGCTGATTTGCATCATCCTCCATTTTATTTTTACACCTTGTCTCTCCCCAGAGTGAGGAATACCCCAGATGGATGAATACTGGGTCAAGAAACTGGTCTCTTGTGAATGCAGTTAGTGTAACTCAATTTACCTACACCTGATTATCCCTAGAGTGAATGGAGTTTCTGAACCTGCCAGGCTTAGCTTGCAGCCAAGACTCAGGGCCAGAGCTCCCAGTTTATTACTATCTGTCTGACATCTGCTTAGGCTGGTATTAATTTAATACATTAATTACAAATCATTCTTATCTATTCATTAAGTAGTTTCCCAGGATGGCTAAGCAAAGTCCTCCTGGTAGAGATGGTTGGCTGCCTCCCTGATCAGGAGATAGCATACCTACAGTACTCCTTGGGACACATGGATGCCTAGGTCATCTTGACCAATAACTGGGAAGATGTTCCTTGTTTTCTTTCTCTCTCAGAGGACACTTTGTACTTAGACGCTGGTGAGGTACCAGGCGTTGCTTACCTCTTTAACTAACGTTCACCATCACTGCCACCACACCCTAGTCCAGGACACTTACGTGGGTGTTGAGGCGATAAGACATCAGTTCAAATTCTCCATCAGGGGGGATGAAAGAAATCGTCCGGTCATTCTCAAAGCGGGAGAGGCGAACACACTGGTGGAATTTCACATCTTCCAACTCTACTGACTTACTTTTTCCACCTGACAGACAGCAAGGACAGAATGTGAAGAAAAAGAAGCAACCAAAAGGACAGTGGAGAAGACAGAATACCAAAGGGGCCAGGAGCAAGTCAGCAGACCTGGGAGGGAGGCCAAGCTCCGTCACTGACAACAAGGCCACTTCTGGTCTCTGAGCCTCAGTTTCTTCACCTGAAAAATCAGGTGCATAACCCTCTGTGTTACCTGCCTCATGGGGTGGTGAGAAGAATATATTCTGTAAACTATAAAGCACCTCAAAAAGCGATTGGTTATCAACTAACCAAAAACTGGTAAGGAAACAGGCCTTTCCCCTTGACGTATCAGCAAATTCCACACTTTGCTAGCTGTGGCACCTCAAGCACATCTCAACCTGAGCCTTAGTCTTCTTGGCTTCAAAGTGTTATCTCCCTGACAGGGAGGATGTGAGGATCAAATGAAATATTGGATAAATAAGCCTTTTAAAACTGTAATGCATTATGGAAATGCGAGGGAATATTACCAATGACTGCCAATAAGCATTTAAGGAAGCACCTACTTTGTATCAGGCACATAAGCTCTGGGGATACAAAAAGAGGCAAAAGACAGTCCCTGTTCTCAAGGAGCTTACAGGCCAATGAAGGAGGCAATATGCAAACAGCTGGGCACAAACAAGCTACAGACAGGATAAACGGGAAATAATTAACAGAGGAAAGCTATCAGAATTAAGGAGGAATGGGGAAGGTTTCTTTAGAGGTGGGATCTTAGTTGAGACTTGTAGGATGCCCAAGCTGCTGAGAGGCAGAGATGAGGAGGGAGATCATTCCAGGCATGGGAGGACAACCAGAGAAAATGCTGAGAGTGGAGAGATGGATCACCTTGTTCAAGGAATGGAAGTGTAAGAAGACTGGAAAGGCAGGAGGGGGCCAGGGTCTGAAGGTCTTTGAATGCCCTTCAAACAGAAATTTATTTTTGATCCTGATGACCAAAAGGAACTACTGGAGTTTCCTGAGTAGGGAGGGGAGTGATATGGTCAGACCTGAGTTTCAGAAAGATCACTTTGACTGCTCTGAGGATGGACTAGAAAGTGGAGAGACTTGAGGCAGGGAGACCAACCAGCAGGCTAATAATAATAATGATAGCTGACATTTACAGAAGACTTTGAACTCTGCAAAACCCTTAATGTGATTATCCCATTTGACTGTTAACAACAATGCTGACAGGTAGAGATCCCCCTTTTACAGAGACGGGAGCTGAAGCACAGAGAAGTTCAATGACTTGCCTGGGGTCACATGGCAGTTGTGCTGGAGGCAGCAATGGAACTCTCCAGGCCTCTTTGCACTCTTCTCTCCTGGTTCTCCTCCTCCCTGTTGGACTGATCCTTCTCAGCCTCCTTTAGTGGACATTCTTCTGCTAACCTTGGCTATGCCCTGAGGCTCTGTCCTGGGTCCTCTTCTTTTCTCCCTTGGTACTACCTCCCCTGGTGATTTCATCAGCTCCCATGGGTCCAAAGATCATCTCTATGCTGATGATTCTCAAATCTACTTGATAAAACCTCTTTGAGGACCTCCAGCATTTCCAACTGCCTGCTGGACATCTCGAACTGGATATCTTGTGAACATCTTAAACTCAACATGTCCAAAACTGAACTTAATTCCTCTCCCCAAAACCTTCCCCTATTGCTGCTAAAGGCACCACTCTCCTCCCAGCCCCCTGGGCTCACAACCTAGGAGTCATTCTTGACTCCTCACCCTCTCTCACCTCCCATGACCCATCTGTTGCCTGCTTTCGCCTTTACAACATCTCTCACATATGCACCCTCAGCCCTTCTTCTCTCCTCTGATGTTACCACCAGCTGGTGTAGGCCCTCCTCACCTCACGGCTGGACTACTGCAATAGTCTGTGGGTGGGACTACCAGCCTCAAATCTCTCCCTACTCCATTCAGCCATCCAAGTGATTTTCCTAAAGCTCAGGTCCTTCCTCATCCCATAAACTCCCGTAACTTCCTATCGCCACCAGCATTCAAAGCCCTTCATACCCTGGGGCACCCCCTCCTGCCTTTCCAGTATTCTTATACTTTTTTCTCTACCTTGTACCCTATAATCCAGTGACATCAGCCTCCTTTCTGTTCCTCAAACAAGATACTTTACCTCCTGATTCTGGACGTTCTCTCTGGCTATTCCCCTTGCTTGAAATGTTCTTCCTCATTATTTCCAATTTATCCCGTCCACAGCCTATCTGTACACATTATCTCCACCATTAGATGAAGCTCCTCAAGCACAGGGACTGTCTTTTGCTTTTGTATCTGCCAGAGCTTAGCACAGTGCTTGGTACACAGTAAACACTTAATACACTTGATTGACTGTCTGAGAATAATGAACATTGGACTGTGACCTGCGTCCGGTACCAGGCTGTATTGCTGATTAGCTGTGTGATCTGGGCAAGTCATGTCCCTTTTGTGGGCCTCACTTCTTTCCTCTGAAAAAGGAGATTGCCTGCACCAGACGATCTCTGAGGAGCCTTCAAACTGATATTCTATGTATTAACGGACTAAACCAGATAAAACATGTTAAACTTCACTTATTTAGACTTATTGATAAAGCTAGTCTGAAATGGACAAAATGTCTATAAGCTACTTGCAAATAAATGTAGTTTCATAATTTTCCATGTATATAGCAATTCCAAGCAACCTAGCAAAGGCCCAATTTTACAGAAAAAATAAAAATAATTTGCGTAAGGGGCCATACTTCAAAAGGGCTTAAAATCAGTTTCTTCCTATGGGGAAGCAAACATTTGCCTTAAAATCTCACTCATATAATTTATTTCTTTAACAAATTCTTCTTTGTAGGGTAGCAAGGTTTTCTTCTATCCATTGCTTTCCTGGAACAGTGAACAGGGTTTCACACTCTAAAAAGTGGAGGCTTGCTCTCCTAATAAAGAAAACGCTAAACCCTTATACAGCAGGGACATGCTCAGGAGGAAACAAGGACAGAGTGCTCGTAAAGATGCCAATGGTATGTGTACTCACGCCCTGTATTGTCAAAGAGAACTTTGTCGTTGAGGCCCAGGCGCAGCTCTGGCATCCCTGAGAGAAACACCCTCATCTTAATGGAGCCCACAATTTCACTACGAAGGACGTTCCCATTGGCGCTGACCTATGTGAAGAACCAAGCAGGTTAGGCAAAACTGTTGTGAGATGGATCACAGAGAGCCTTTGTACACTAATAAAATGAAATTAGATCAATCAATCAACAAACATCTATTAAATTCTTACCATAGTAAGGTATTGCCAGGTATTGTGAGAAGTGCCGAAGATTCAAAGAAAGGCAAAAGCATGGTCCTTGTCCTCAGGGAGCAAACACTCTCATGGAGAAAGACAACATGCAAAAAGCTGTACATGAGATATATACAGCACAAATGGAAGGTAATCTCAGAGGGAAGGCGCTGGCAATGCGGGGAGGGAAGGGGGCCCAGATTTTAAGATGGCATAGAGTCTGACTGGGCTTTCAATACAGTGGTATCCTCTCTAGGCAGATGACTCCCAAATCCACCTATCTAGCCTTCATCTCTCACCTGAGCTTTAGTCCCACATCATCAACTGCTGGACACTCCACTTGGATGTCTCGTAGGCATCTCAAACCCAACAGGTCCAAAACAGAATTCACTATGCTTTCCCTCTAAACCCATTCCCTTCTCCTAACTTCACTATTTCTGCTGAGGTAACACCAACTTTTTCATCACTCAAGTTCAAGAATCCTCAATCCTTCACTCTCACTCTCTCCCAACATCCAATTGGCTGCCAAGTGTTATCGATGGAAATGGAAACTTGGAGAAGTAAAGGGACTAGTGAGTATCAAAGACAAGATTCCAATCCAAGCCTTCTGACCACAAGTCCAATACTATTCCCACTTCTGCTTCAGAAAAAAAGGACCCTCTTAAAAAAAAAAAGACCTTCTTTCTATTAAAAAAATGAGCCGTTCAACCAAACTTTGACAAATATGTAAGATGACTTTTGCCTAGTTTTGCATAGAAATAAATCTTCCTTTAAGATCTTCATGGAACTATCCTCCACTCTATGGACAAAGGCCAAACGGTGGTGTTTGGTGGAACCCCAAATTCCTGCTACCCTCAGTGTCTGATGTTCCAATGCTCCCACTTCCTTAAGCTGGAAAGAATTCAAGTTAAGGAAAGACAAACTGTACTTTTGGCTTGGTGTTGAGTTAGAAAGAATGAATTCAGGCAGAACAGGTGGGAAGAGAGCAGAGATTATTTGGACCCTTTCCTTGCTTCCCAGACTTTGGAAACCTTTTCCTTTTACACCACACTGATATTGACAATAAGTGAAGGAGGCCTAATGTAGGTCATGTTCATCTTAATGTGGTTTCACAGAACATAAGAACCAAAGAGGACCTTGGAAATCATATCCTACCCCCTCATCTTACAGATGGAGGACCGGGGGGGGAAAAAAAAGGAAACATGGCTCAGTTGCACAGGTAGCAAAAGCCTGAACTAGGGTTCAGATCCAGGTTTCATGACTTTTAGTTTTGCAATCTCAACCAAACAAGGGATAGGATAAAGAGGATCACAGATGACAAAATGGACAATTTTAATAACATATAACTTAAAAGTTTTGGCACAAACAAAACCAATGCAGCTAAAATTAGAAGAGAAGCAGGTACCTCGGGGGGAAATCTTTTTAGCATATTTCTCTGATAAAAATCTCATTTCTAAGGTACATAAGGTCCTGACTTAAATTTTAAAAACTGGCGCAGTGGACAGAGCACTGGCCCTGAAGTCAGGAGGACCTGAATTCACATCTGGCCTCAGATGCATGATACTCACTAGCTGTGTGACCCTAGGCAAGTCACTTAGCCCCAATTGCCTGAACAAAAAAAAAAACAAAACAAAAAACTAGGAGCCATTCTCTAATTGGCAAATGATTAAAAAATATGAACAAGAAATTTTCAAAGAAGGAAATCCAAGCTATCAATAGTCATATGAAAAAATCATTAATATTTAGAGAAGTGCCAACTAAAGCAACACTGAGGTTCCACCTCATACCCATCAGATTGGCAAAACTGACAAAAAAGGGAAAATGACAAATGCTAGACAAGACTGTAGGAAAGCAGGTACGTTAATGCACTATTGGTGGATCTGTGAAGTAGTATAGCCACTCTGGAAAACAGTGTGGAACTATGCTCCAGAATCTATCAAACTATATCTGACCCAGCAATACCATCACTGATACTCCAAAGAAATCAAAGGAAGAGGAAAAAAAATTTATAGCATCTCTTTTTGTAATAACAAAAAATTGAATACTAGGGGATGCTCATCATTTGGGGAACAGCTGAACAAATTAATGGTATATGAATACAAGAGAATACCATGTGCCAAAAGAAATGAAATGGGGTGGTTTCAGTGAAACCTGGGACCACTTGTACGAACTGTTGAAGGATGAAGTGAACAGAACAAATTTATACAATATCAACAACTCTGTCAAAACAACTCTGAAAGATGTAAAACACTGATCTGCCCAATGACCAACCATGATTCCAGAAAACAAATGATGAACCACGCTATCACCTCCTGACAGAAAGGCAATGGACTCAGGGTACAGATAAGACATATTTTTTGGGACATGGCCAAGGCAGGAATCTGTTTTGTTTGACTATGCATATATGTTATAAGGGTTTTTCTTTTCTTTTTTTTCTTCCCATGGGTGTAGGGCAAAAGGGAGAGAAAATATATTTTTGTTAATAGAAAAAATTAAAATTTAAACAATCAAATAAAACAAATTTCAGCACTCTTTTCACTGTGCTGACTTGGGATATCTTAGACCTCTGTGGATCTGCTAGTTTACAAAGTTTATTAGCTTTTATTTTCATTTCAAAAAAAGCAAATAAATCAATAGACTTACCAAAAGGTTAACAGATTCAATGACATCCAGGAACACCTCATTCTTTCTATACTTGATTCCCTCAGATCTCCAAGACACAGCATTGGTGACTGTAGCTGGTGGACGGGGGGCTCCAGTTTCTAGTTTGTGGCCTTCTTGAGTGATGTATCTTTATAACCAGATGATTAGTGTTAAGGAAGTATGACTAACACAGAAATAGTAACTTCAGTCAATGACTTCATGCTACATTTCAAGAAGTGAACAAAGGAAGCTCTTGGCAGCCTAGAGATAATATCCTAAGGCAAAGAATGGTAGAATAGAACCTTAGAGTTGGAAAGGGGCTTATAGGGATCTAGTCCAGATAGGCACCACCCCCTCCCCCCATCTACCTAAGTTCTAGGAAAGAGAAGCTTAGTCTTTGGTTTTTCCAAGTCATAAGAAGCCATTTAACTCATGACTTGATCTGGCTGCCAAGAAAGAAACTCAGAAGAGCAGGATAAGCCCTAATGAAAACATTCTGATGGAGTGCAGTATCATGGCCATTGAAGGCATCAAATTCACATTAAATTGTGCCCAAAGAGCTCCAACAGAAGGCCACTCAAGCCCTTCAAGGATGGCACGTGAAAGATTAGGAGACAAATAGTGTTTCTACGGCTAAATCAGTAACACTGGAATACCAATGTGCATTGCTTCAGGATTTTGAGAAGTTGCCATTTAGTGGTACAGGGGGTAACCCAGATCAAAGTCTCCCTCCAAACATGGTAGATCTAGTTTGTGAATTCCCGTGGCTGAAAAGGTGCCTCTCTACAACATAGGCTAGGGCTAGCCTCACAGACATAAAGTCTATCATCCCCCAGGCCATACCTGTCAGGACCTGCCATGGAAAGGTTACTTCCATGCTACAAGGAGGAGACGGAAGAGGGTAGATAACATCTGGCTACTGATACTCACTCTTGCAAAATTTTGCTGTCAGTAGTTTGAGGGTATCCAAAATCCATTAATTCATCCAGTAATTCATAAATAATAACAAAATTATCACGAATGCTTTCTTCTTCCAACTCTTTGAAATATTCAGAAAATACCTAAAATGAAAGAGAGAGAAAACACATGAAAAGTTCACAGCTGATTCCTACATACCTCTCATTCCCCCACTTCCTACTTGGAAAGGTACTTGGCAGTCTGGCCTATGTGTCACTCTTGAAACATCTGAGCTGGGACAATGAAACATTTAATTTCCTCATTTCTGCACTGAGGATGGAACATCGAACATGAGAATGAGAAGTTCAACCCCAGCTAGAAGACAGAAAACTAGCTGGTCTAAAACGTGGTCAGCAGCACACTCCTGCAACCACCTGCGTCCTCTTTTTCTACACGTTTCCTCTCTTCTGTCACCTTTAGGAGACCCCATGACTTTCAAATCTAAACCTTTTGGCAAATATGTCGTCCCTCTAACGTGCTGTTCCTTCCTGATTACCTTTCCCAACTCTCAGTCAAGCCCTCATAACCTAGACTACTGTAATAGTCTGCCAACCTATTCCTCTGCCTCAGGCTCTCTCATCTCCAGTCTCTTTTACCATAGTAATTTTCTTAATTAATGCTCAGATCTGATCACATCTTCCCCCCTTGCTCAAAAGCCTTCAGCAATGTGCCCTTGCTTATCAAATAAAAAAGTCAATTCCCAAACCTGGTATTTAAGGCTTTCTAGTTCTACCTTCCTTTGTTAGCCATATTTCCCAGCACTCTCCTACATGTATTATTATTGTTATTCTTATTTTTATTACACATTCCAGACTGCCCGCAATCCATTCTGCTCTTTCTTGCCTCTGTTCGCTCATGCAGGCCATTCCTTAAACCCAGAATAGCATCCCACTCTTCGCCCCAATTTCTGCCTTCCAAGAAACCTTCTTTTATCTTCCTCTACCTGGATATGATCTCTCTGAGGGAACACTGCCAAAGAGCATTCTCACTCACACCCCCACACCACCATGATCTTCTAGCTCAAACTATCCCCTGTTACTATCCTCTCCTCCACCTCTGCAGGACTCTCATCAAAGTCCAAGATGCAACTCTGTAGAGTACTGCCCTCTGGGGGACAAAGGGCATATGACAAGGGTTATATTAAGGCTGCCTGTGCAGGGTGAAAGAAGTTGTATTTTCAGGGAAAGGAAAACCCAATTTCCCAATTTGCCACTTACCTGTACTACCTTGTAAAGAAAGGCAAACACCAGTGACACACAGGCATTCTTTTTAGATGTTGCAACCACTGACAGAAAACCTATTAAGGAGCCTTCAAAGGGAGTACATTTGGAAAGGTCTGCTAATCATTTACTCTGCCACAGGCCAAAAGAACTGATGGGATTGCTGTGGTAACTCAGATCACACTGCAGATCAATCAGCAACAGGACCTATGTGGCAGCGGTCCCACAGTGCTTTAAAGAGAAGGGCACACATCACATGAAGCCCTCTCCCTGACAAGGCCCAACTCAAGACTCAGGTCCATCAGAATGCCCTCCAGGATTTATTCCCTCTCTCTCCCGGTCTGTGACTTTCTCTCTCGTTACGTCCCTATATATACGTGTTACAGCACTCGTGTTCAGGTTGTGGCCTGCTGTTTTGTCGAGTGCTTACTAACGAAAGGCAGGGTAGTGCAGTGGCAAGACCACCGGGAGAAGCCCGAGATCTGGGCTCTGGGGCTGTTACTCACTCCACAGGGACTTGGGTGAGTCATTTGACTTTTCCGAGCTTCAATTTCCTCACGTGTAAAATGGGATTAATAATACCTGAGTAGTTTAGAGGAGTGACAAAAATCTAAAAGGGTGACAAATACCTACTCACCATGAGGAAAGCACTTGGTAAACCTTTACATGCTATATAAACGTGTAAATTGTTATGCTGGTCATTTCAGACCTTGGTTCTTGACCTGAATATGAACCAGCCTGTGAACTTTCTTTTAAAACATATTTTATAATATTATTTCAATACCATTAGTTTCCCTCAGTCATTATATATATTTTATTTTATGCATATAAAAATATGATTCTGAGAAGGGGTCCACAGACTTCCCTAGGCTGCCAAAGTTAAGAACCTCTGTTGTAGACAGCTGTCTAGAGTTTCATTCTGATCTGTACCTGCTTTAGTGCTCTTTATCTTTGCAATGTGCCAGTAAAGGGGTTTGGCTCTTCCCCACCAGGTGAGTCTTCCAGCATGGACAGCCAAGGGGCAGGGGCAAAATACATTCCATCCTGGTTCATCACCCTCCTCCCCGCCATGGTCTGGCAGGTGCAGAGGACTGAGGAGGTACACTGCCTTCACGGCTGCTTAGTCTCCAGCTTCTTCTGTCTTCAGTATACATACTCAACCCTTACACTGAACCCAATGAAAAAAGTCAGGCACATATAGTCTCCATTAGGGTATAAACATTCAGGAGCTACTCAGAGCTTTCCCTTCCTGGTGCTCTATTCAGATCTTTGTAATGTCCATCAGTTCTCCTAGATTCTTTTGCTCATGCTTAGGCTCTGAGCATGATGGGCATTTTAGTGGCACAGCTGTGATAAGTCAGACCCAGTTGGGATATCTGCCTCGGGGAGTAAGGATGCTGCCTGCTAGCATTATGGGCTGTCCATGGACAAAGAATATCTTTCAAGTAGGAATGGAACAGCTTTTATAACTGAATCCTAAACCTCATTCCCTAATAGTGTCAAACTCTAGATCTGCCAGGAGGAATAAGGCCTCACAGTTCAATGTCATTAGTCCCTTCTTGCTTAGGGTCATTTCCAGTGATGGCAGTAGAGAAGAGAGGAAAAGGGTTACTACTTTAACAGTTCTGGTACGTGACCTGCAATAGAGAATAAGTACAAGAAAAACCACAAGTTGAGCTAGGCCTGAGGTCATTTTTTACACTGTGTTAAAGAGAGTTATCCTTTAATATGATCAGATCTGCAGGAATAACAAGATGCTTGAAAATGGGGCATTTACTGAATTCAGAAACAGGTATCCTGGCTCAGCGAAGAGTAAAGGGGAATTATAGAAAAGAACAAGGGATGTTGGGAAATAAAGCAGCATTAACATGGACCTGAGAAAAGATCAAGCGAATCTGTGTGTTGGTGTGTGTATACAGAAAGGGGGCTGGGGGAGTCCTTAAAATATAGAATGTCAGAGATAAAAAGAACGTCAGAGATCATCTAATTGATTTTTTTTCATTTTACAAGGTAAGGAAATTAAGGCAAAGAGAAGGGAAGGGACCTGCCCAAGCTTACACTGTAAATTAGTGATACTGCTGAGGATAAAAACCCAGGTCTTGTAGCTCTAGTCACATACCAAGGGTTTTTTTTGGGAATAATTTGAGGTCACTAGAGGTATTCCCCAAAAGGATACAATATAAATTATTGTGTTTAATCCACATAAAACGAACTCCTCCATGGGCCAAGATGGGAGACAGCATCCCTTCTTCTTCCTTTTCCATCAGGATTGGCATGAAATGCTCCACCTCTGACATGTCCACATCTCCTCGGTAATTTCGACAGATAAGCACCTGTAAAAGAAAAAGCATCTGATTGCATTTCCAATTCAATCTTCTGAATCACCAAGAGTCATAATATATGCTCTCTTGTTCTCTTTTGAGACTTTACTAGGAGGGCCACTCCTTCCTTCAGCCCTGTCCTAGACTATTCCCGACTCCTGGGCTCTTCAGTCAAGACTGTGAGATTCTCCTGGAAGATAAGACCCATGGAGGCTCTAGTAAACTAACATTTTATTTTGAGCCCTGGGACTGCCTTATTCTGCAATCTTAGTTCTGGTCCTTTCCTATGATAAATAAATCTTAACTTTCTGTTCCTCTCATTCCAGTTGCTCAAAACTACTACTGCATGCCTGAGTAAAAATCAACATCCCCTTTGCCCTGCCTCCTTGGTGAGGCTCATCCCCTTCCCCTCTCCAGTCCCTATTATTCTTCGCCTGCCCCTTCTGCTGTGCCTCCCTGGAGTCTCCACTCTATTGTTAAGCTCTCCTTCATGCTGGATATTTTTCTCTGACACTGAATGAGACTTGGCTTTCTTTTAAAGACACCAAACCTGTCTCTATCCTTTTCAGTGATGGCCGTTCCCTTTCCTCACACCTGAAACACATCACCTGGCATACAGAAAATGCTTGTCAACTGACAAGACTCCCATCATCAGGAGGACCCCCACTGCCACTTTCAGAACCTGGCTCTGCACACCCTCCAGCAATTGTCCGAGCTCTTTCTTCTCTTTCTCCCATTGTCAAACTCCAAGAAAAAGCTATTTACACTTGTTGCCTCTACTCTCTTTCTTCTCACTGGTGCCTCAATGCTTTACATTGTTCCTGACCTCATTACTCAACTGAAACTGCCCTTTCCAAAGCTATTAACAATCTTTTGATTGCCAAATATGACAGTCTCTTCTCTGTCTTAATCCTTGACCTCTTCCTTCTCTATTTGACGCTGTTTGCCACCCTCTCTTCCTGGACCCTCGTCTGAGGATCAGGCCATCCTTACCTTCACCCTCGACAGCAGAGAACAAAGACTGCTAATATCCATCACTCTGTGGCTGGACTCCAGCAGTGCGTGCCCAGCGTGCTTCCTGACACACCTTTCACTTCTACTGGGACTCCGACCCTTGATCATACTCCAAGAACTGAACTGGAGTCAAGGCCAGAGATGCCCCCAAGCACCCCGAGCAAAACTGGCTCTGCTACTTCCTAGTGTGTGACTTTGGGCACAACACTTAATCTTTCTGGGCCTCAGTTCCCTCCTCTGTAAAAGGAGGGAGATGAAATAGTGATCCCTAAAGTCCCCTTCCAGGTGTCAGTACTGTGAACCCTCTACTCCTCTATGTTCCCCCCCCTCCAGCTTATGGAAAAATTGAATACCACCACCTTGGGAGGAAAAAGAAAGAAAGAAAAAAAATTCTAAGGTACATGAGAATGCATTAAGGGTGGTAACCAGTCTAAGAGTGGGAACACCTTAATCTAAGTAAGGTTATTGCCTTTCTGTACCCTTGACCAGACTGAATGGTTTGGGGAAATGGTTGCCGCCAAGGTGCACCAACATTTTAAATAACTACTTTTCTGTCAGTCAATAAGCATTTATTAAACACCCACTACACGACGGCACAGGGCTAAGCTTTGGGGATACAAAGAAAGGCAAAAAACAGTCCCTGCTCTCAAGGAGCTCCCAGTCTAATGCGGGAGTCAACATGCAAACAACTGCATACGAACAAACTAAATGCAGGATAATTGGAGCTAAACAACAGAGGAAAGACACTACCATTAAGGGGAACCAGGAAAGGTTTCTTGTAGAAGAAAGATTTTGGCAGAGACATGAAGGCAGCCAGGGAAGCCAGGAAGAAGAAATGAGGAGGGGAGAATTCCAAGCACAGGGGACAGCCAGTAAAAATGCCCAGAGTTAGAAGATGGAGTCTCTTGTTTGAGGAATAGCAAGGAGACCAGTAACACCCAACTACAGAATATATTATAATGTTAACCAACAGTTTTGGGAGAGTTCTTATCAACTGCCCTTCATTAATAATAGCTGACACTCATATAGAACTTTTAAACGTTAACAATATGCCTTATGTGCATGCTTCACATGAGCCTCCTAACAACTCGGGGAGGTAGGTAGTGCAGGTATTATCCCTTTTTTATAGATGAGAAGACAGCCTCAACAAGATTAAGTGACTTGCTCATGATCCCACAGTTTGTATGTGTGATGCACATTTTTGTACACTGGAGTCTTGGTGTTGGTAACCTCCCTGAGATAAAGTCCCGGGTGTGACACTAGAGACATTAGTGGGTCATTGGATCACAGCTCATTAGATCAAAGATTCAGATCACTGACGCAGGCTAGGAAGACATACAGTCAGTAGTTACTGACCAATTGACAACTTAGTCAAAAATCTCCCATCCTTTAGAGAAATTCAAGATGTTTGTTTCATTTTTTGTTTTAATTGCTAATGGGATTCTGGGGGAGCTAAGAAGCTACAGAGCAATGAGGCGAGGGACTTGTTTGATTGGAGTGAGGGGGAGGGGTTTGTTCTCTTTCCTTTTAGCACTTTTCATTCTTGGTAGGAAAACAGCATGACTAGCACCGTCGCAATGCTGCAAAGCCTGCTGAATGGTCTGATCTGAAACATCAACATTGGACACTGACCAAAGCCAACATCCAATGTGTAATCCATTGTTGGGCCTCCTTTCCCCGGAACTGTTTTTAAATAAGTGCCCAGACCACAGTGAGGAGATGATTTAAGTGTTTCATGCAAACAGTAAACCAAGCATCATGCGTATTTGTCTCTATTTCTTCTGTATAAGGTTCTTTTCCCTTCTGATACTTCGCATACGGGTAGATAAAGCATTTCTTAAGCACTTACTATGTTCCAGGCACTGTGGATACAAATACAAGCCAAAAAAACCCAAAACAATTTCTAACCTTACTTTCAAGGAGCTTACATTCTAATGGAAGAAGGCAACACACACAGGAGTTCTGGAATTTGAGGGATTGAAGTAGCTAGGAGGTGAAATCTAGAGAGTGGGAAGTGAGCAAGAGCTAAGTAAGAATGGCCTGGGTGCCAGAAATGGTGAAATGGTAGTCCAGGCCAGAGACTCTCCAATCAGAAGAAAGGGCCCCATAGGACAGGCAACAGTGAGAAGGCCACTGATGAAAAGGTGAAATCCAAAGTAGAAGGAATGCTGCTGGAAGTGGAATGAATTTCAGAATTTGATTCTCAGTATCTAAAAATAATCATTCCTTCAGTGGGCTGAATTCTAAATTATCTTTGTCTTGTCTTTCCCAAGCTTGCTGACAACAGAGATGTCTATGGACATTTGGTACCTGGGAGTACCAAGGAAGAAGAAGGCAGAAGAGGCCAGAACAGTACTGTTTAGAAAGAAGTGACTTTAAGAGGGACATGTGCATGCTAGAATTCATTCAAAGGAAGGTCATAGGATCTCAACTGGAAGGAACTTCAGAGATCATCTAATCTAGCCCATCTCTGAAACCATTAGCTGAAAGAAGTAGGGGTATTTATACTGGATACAAGATACCTTGGTGGGAGCATAATCACTGTCCTCAAATATCGGAAGATTTTCATGTGGAAGAGGCAGAAGACTTATGGTGACCCCAAGAGCCAGACATCCAGAGCCCTGGATTCTGGTCCTGTCTCTGTCTCTCCTTCCTCTTTTGTGGCGTTCTAAGCTGCTTCCTCCATCTGGACTTCTGTTCCCTCATTTGGAAAATGAGCAAACAACTTAAATGGACAAGTGTGGTGATATGCTCATGAGGCTTTGCTGACAGGCATGGAAGGGAAGTAGTTATTTTTTAACTTTAGGTATGAGAGTTTTTCCCTACATGACAGAATTAATTAGTTCATTGACCTAGACAAGAAAGACCTTTTCATTACAACTGGTGGCCAGCAGTGAGTACCTGAAAGGAAGTCTGGCAATATCTGTCGAATTTACTCATTCAATTTTAATAAACATTTTAAAACGACTACTATATGCTGACAGGATGGAAGTTTCTTGTGGGCAGAGGCTATTTCATTTTTGTCTTTATGTTTCTAGTGCCTGGCACACAGGAAATAATATAGTAACACTTAAAAGTGCTATAAGAATATCAGCTATTATTAATAAAGGGCAATTGATAAGAACTCTCCCATGGGGCAGCTAGGTGGCGCAGTGGATACAGCACCAGCCTTGAAGTCAAAAGGACCTGAGTTCAAATCCAGTCTCAGAGCAGACACTTGACACTTATTAGCTGTGTGACCCTGGGCAAGTCACTTAACCCTGACTGCCTAAAAATTAAAAAAAATTAAAAAAAATTAAAAGAACTCTCCCAAAACTGTTCATTAAAATTATTTATAAATAACAAAAAAAGCTTTATTTGTAATAACAAACTATGTGTCCAATGATTGGCTAGCTGAACAAATAATGGTATATGAACATAATGGAAAATTATTAGGCCATAAAGAACACCAAATATAAAGAATTCAGAGAATTATGAGAAGATTCATATGAAGTGATACAGAGTGAAGGAAGCAGAGCCAAAAGAACAATATACACAATTACAGTAAGTAAATACAATCGACACTGGAGAAGCAGTGAAATTCTGGTCAAAAATAATGTCAAGGTCATACTGTCCAAGTTAAAGGACACATCTTAACTTTCTGTTAATAATCAATAAACTTACTTTTCTTCTCCAGGGAATGTACTTTGCAGAGGGATTTGCTTGGGCATTTATTGGAAATTACACGTGGCATCAAAAATATATATATATCTCAAATACAATTCATTTAAGCCAAACTGAGGTCCTATAAGAATGATACTAAGAACACCAAAACTCAGAATGAACTGTCAAGGAAAGCCAAGGACAACAAAAAAGATTTTTAAAAGCTATACTGGAGAAAAGAGTTAAGAAGTATTCAATGTAGATGGGCAATGATGATGAATGGAGAGAAGACAATTATTCAGTTATGACTGTGCTTCTGTTTCTCTGTCAAGGAGAATGGTCTTTGGACAGAACAAAAGGAGAGACACTAAAAGAGTACCTCGCTGCCCTTAATGAGTTCAAGTGACTAGGCTCAGGCAAATTACATTCTGGGATACTGAAGGAGCTTTTCAGATGCTATTTCTGAGCCACAGTCAGCCATCTTTAAACGATCATGCAGAAGGCGAGGGGCGCTGGAGCTAGTGAAGGGCAAATGTCTCTTTTTTCATAAAAGAGAAAAGAGCAGAGTACAAAACCCACAAACTTGACTTTAACTCCTGGAAAAATTCTAGAATGTATTACTGAAAGGGGTCTATCTCAATGCTGGTGAACATTTAGAAAAGAAAGTGGAGATCACAAACGGCCACACTTTCTCTCTCGCTCTCTCTTTTTTTTTTTTTTTAAAGAAATCAACCAATCAACAAGCATTTATTAAGCATCTACTATGTTCCAGGAACTGTGTTAGGAGTGAGAGATACCAATACAAAGAATGAAACATCCCCTTCTTTCAGGGAGCTTATATTCTAATAAACAGAGCTACGCATTACTGTTTTTATATAATTGGATAAGATAAATCAATCATTTAATAATTATTAGGCAGAGTGCCACGCTTTCACCAGAAACAGGCCATGCTAGACTAACTTCATTTCCTCTTTCGACAGGCTAGATCAGGGGACTTTTGTAGATGTAGTTTACTTCCCTTTAGCAAAGCACTTGATGAAGTCCCTCAAGATATTTGTGAAGGCAAGATGGAGAGGTATAGGCTCGGCAGTAACACAATTAGGTGGACTCATAACTGGCTGAATGGCCATACCCAAAGCTTAGCAAAAGACTCTACCGTACTGTCCATCAAATTTGTGCTTGCCTCTGTGGTATTTAATATTTTCATCAATAACCTGGAAAATGGTACACATGGCATGCTTACCAAAAAAGCAAAAAGCACAAAGCTAGGAGAGGCAGCCAATAGGTTAAATGATAGAGCCAGCCAAAAAATACTTGACGGTCTAAGACACAGGGCCAAATTTAATATGATGAAATGTAATAGATTAATGGAAAGTCTTCCACTTGGGTTTTTAAAAAATCAACTACTCAAGTTGGAGGAGGCATGACTAAGCAACAGTTCATATGAAAAAGATCTTGTGATTTTAGTGGGCTGCAAGCTGAATATGAGACAAGACAGCCAAACGATTTTAGGCTACACGAAGAGGCTCAGGTATTCAGAAAGGGGGAGCAGATGCCCTCTATTGAGTTTACTCTGTTTTGATCAGGCCAACAGCTGGAGTACTGTTTTTCATTCTGCATGTCACATTTTAAGAACGGCATTAAGGAGCTGGAGAATGCCCCAGGGAGGGGGGAAAAAGAACTGTGAAGGACTTTGAATTCACATCATGTGATGACTTGCTGGAGGAACCAGGGATCTTTATATCAGAGAAGAGGCTTAGGAGGGATATGATAGCTATCTTCTATTATCTGAATGGCAGTTACCTGGAAAGAAGGATCATACTTGCTCTTTTTAGGCCCAGGGAATAGACCCGGGAATGATGTGGAAGCGGCAAAGAAGAAATTGTAGTCTTGGTGTCAAAGACAAACTTCCTAACAATGAGAGCTAGCCAAAAGTGCGATAGCACTAAGACAAAGATGGTTTTCCTTCCCTAGAGGTCTTCAAGCAAAGACTGGAGGATCAACCTAGCTGGGATGACAGGGAGATTTATATTCAGGTCAGGACTGGGTTAGATGGCCTCTAGGAACTCAGGGGTCCTGCACCCAACATGAAGCTCAGGGGCCTCCAGCAGGTGTTCTCAACGCTCCATGGCCTGGCACCACCCTACTTTTTCAAGCATTCTTCCAATCTTTATACTCTCTAGACTCTGGTCAAACCGGACAGTTCCCTGTGGTCCCAAACCTGCCCCTCACTTTGTAGCTCTATCTCTGCTTCCTTTGTTCACTGTATTTGGAACGCTCTCACTTCTCATCTCTGTTGAACCTTCTCGGCTCCCTAAAGGCTAACTCAGATGCCACCTCGGATCACTTTGCCCCTCTTCCCCCAAATCCCCCCATTTCTCTTTGTATCTCTCTAATGCATGTAACATGGACCTCGGTATGCATGATCACCACGGCACTTTATTTTCCTCCTAGACTGACTCAGCTCCTGGATGACGTTGGCCACGGTCAGCTCTAAACTGCCCTTCTCTAGAGGTAGCACGGTAGGGTGGGAAAAGCCCCGGCTGCGTCTGAGAGGCCCTGGGTTCAAATCCCATCTGATGCTCCTCATTTGAACCATGACGTCCCTTCCACCTCGACATCTGGGGTGCCACGACAGAGCTGAGACTGCCTCTTGCCTTTCTTTGTATCCCCAGTTTAGCCCAGTGCCTGGCACGTAGTAGGCGCTTAATAAATGCTTCTAGGCTGACTGCACACAGCAGGTGCTGCCTAAGCGCTCGTGGATGTGACGGGCTGCCTTGGGGCGGGGGTTGCAGCCAGATGTGGTAGGGCGCCTAGTCAAAGGGAATACTGACAGTGACAGGGACGTGGAGCAGGGTGGGGGAAGTCCCCGCCCCCGCCTTGGGGAGGGGCCGTTACCAGGCAACGCGGAGGGGGCAAGCGGCACTGGCCGGCCGGGTTTCCCTACCTTGCCCTTTAGGTCTAGCACATACACTGCGCTGGCCGACATGGCGGCGGCGGCGGCGGCGGCGGCGGCAGCGGGGAGGTCGAGGGCGAGAGCGAGGGCGAGGCGCGCAGCAAGAGAGGCGGCGGCACCGTGAACAGCAGGCGGGCGCACCCGACCCACGGCACCTCACTTCCACTTCCGCCCTGGAACCGTTACGTCCGGCCTGGGGAACGGCCTTCGGCCTCTGGCGCACGCGCATGGGAGGGAAGACATGGGCATGCACCACGTGTACGCGCCGCCGGGGCGCAGGCGCACTAAGCTCCGAAGAAGCCATTTATTACGCCGGAGCTCTGGCGGTAGCCGAGCCGTGTGGCTTAAGCAGCCTCAGGAAATGACGAGGCTGCCAGGCCCAGCGGATAGTCATAGTATCCACAACGTTGGAGCTGGATGGCAGCTTAGAGCTAGAACGTCAGCGCTCGGAAGCTGGGGAGGGCTTAGAGCCCAGAATGTCAGAGCCGAGAAAGCCCTTAGAACAGGGAACGTCAGAGCTTGAAGGGACATTAGAGCACAGAATGTAAGAACTGGGAAGGACCTTAGACCAGATTACATCAGAGGCAGGCGAACCCTTAGGGCAGGGAATGTCAGAGCTGGGAAGGCCTTCAAACTTGCCTAGGTTCACAGAGCCTGTATCAAAGGTGGGATTTGAAAGCAGGGTCTTCCTGAGTCCAGAGATAGGTACTGCATCCCATCCACTACATTCCACAGCTCTCTTAACTTGAATTCCTTTCTACATCCTTTACTGAACTCACATGCCACTCCAGGAAGCTCTCCCTGATCCCCATGGTTGACCACCTTCACTTCAGACCTCACGTAGCCCTCCTTCCAAGAGACTTCTCTCAGAAGGTTGCATAGTATTGTCACCCGAATTGCTTTTATCTCCCTGCTAGGCTTTAAGCCCTATGAAGGCAGGGAACTGTTTTTATCTAAACTTTGTATTTTCTCCATCACCTAGGAGCAGTGCTACTCTGCATATAGAAAGGAAGAATAATAGCTAAAATTTATATAGCACTTACTTGCCAGGCTCTGTGCGAAGCACTTTACAATTATTACCTCATTTGATCCTCACAACAGTCCTGAGAGGTAAAGCTCTATTATTATTCCCATTTTACAGATGAGGAAACAGACAAACTGGGGTTAAGTGATTTGCCCAGGCTAATACAATTAAGTGTCTGAATTTGAGCTCAGGTCTTCCTGACTCCAGACCTAGCAGTCTGTGCATTACCTGCGCACAGTCTGTGCAACACAGTATTTGTTGAAAGAACATAGAATTTTAGAGCTACCCAAAAAGCTGTAAGTGACTAGCTAAGACCACCACAGTTTGAAGCAGATGGGGGTGTGAGGAGTGGTGGGAAGTAGGGAGAAATTTGGGCCTGGAGTTAGGAAGACCTGGATTCAAATCCAGCCTCAAACACTTAGTAGCTGTGTGATCCTGGGCAAGTCATTTAACTTTTACTTGCCTCAGTTTACTCAGTTGTAAAATGGGGATAGTAATAGGGTTGTGGTGAGGATCAAATGAGATACTATTTGTAAAATCACTTAGCACACTATCTTGCCATAGCAGCTGATTAATAAATGCGTATTCCCTTCCCTCTTCCTCCCTGCAGCAGGGATCCTTAATATGGGGTCCATGGATAGTTTCAGGGGGCCTGTAAGCTTGGATAGAAAAAAATTATTTTGATTTCAATGTTTCTTTTGTAATCCCACATGTTTTATTGTATGCATTTAAGAACATTTTTATTTTATTGTTGGAACTGGGTCTCCTGTCTTGCCCAGGCTTGCCCAGCAGGGAAGCTTGGCCCTGGGCCAGGTCACCCTCTCTTCAGGCAGCTTGCTGTCTTTCCTCATCCTCCTCTCCTTCCTTGCTCCCTGGGGCTTATCATGTTGGTACTGAATATGGTGCAGATACCTTGATTAACTTTAGCCCCAGGGCAGCTAGGTGGCACAGTGGATAGAGCACCAGCATTGGAGTCAGGAGGACCCGAGTTCAAATTCGGTCTCAGACACGTAACACTCACTAGCTGTGTGACTCTGGGCAAGTCACTTAACCCCAATTGCCTCATCAAAACAAAAAACAAAAAAACTTTAGCCCCACTGCAAGCTCAGAACTCCTGAGTTCAAGCAATCCCCCAGCCTTGGCCTCCCCAGTACCATGGAGGGCAGGCCTATGGAACCACACTTGGATAAAATTATGACTGAGAAGGGGTCCATAGGCTTCACCAGACTGCCAAGAAATCCATGACTCCTGCTCTACAGCAGGGTAAACTTCCCTTCATTTTTACCAGCAACTGTCATCCATATTTCAATTCAAATAAACAACCACTTTTGTACAAGGCCCTTACCTTTATCCCAGTCTGTTTTTGTTCCTTCACCAGGTCAGTCTTCTCTGGTCTCAGATAACCAGTAATCGGTATCTTAAATATTGCCTCATTCCTCACCAGAGAAGGATAGGGAGGGAACCCATGCCCTGAGGCCACAAGGCAGCAGATATATTACCAGGTTTTGCATCCTCAGGCTTGAGAGGGTTCTTGCCCAGGGCCGCCACCATCAGTAACAGAAGCAACCTTGGATCCCAAGTATACCAGACTACTCACAGCACAACTTCTTTGTGGTAGCAGAGAATTAGAAACAAAAATGGGCATCCCCTGAGGAATACCTGAGGAGGCTGCCAGCTGGCACGGTGGATAGAGGATTAGAGTCAGGAAGACCAAAATTCAAATGCAGCTTCAGAAACTTACAAACTATATGATCTTGGGCAAGACACGAAATCTGCCTCAGTTTCCTCAACTGTAAAATAAGGGTAATAATCACACCTACCTCCCGGGGTTGTTGTGAGAATCAAATATTTGATAAAAGCTCTTAGCAAGTGCCTGGTACATAGTAGGCACTTAATGTTCATTCCCTCTCCCCCTTCCCTGCCAATGCAGGAAGATGATGGAGGGGCTGTAATGGGTGGGAGAACAGCATGGTGGCCAGTTTGGCTGGGCTGTAGAACGTAGGCAGTGGAGTAATACACCAAGCCCCTCACTTATGCCATAAATTTCTTTTTCACTAGTTTACCTCCACACTGGGATTGCATAGTCTCACCTTGGTTTCTTCATTCCTTATTTCCTTCAAAATTCAGTTCAAGGGTCATTTTCTGCATGAAGCCTTTCCTCATCCCTGCAGCTGCTAGTCTCTTCCCCTCAGAACTTATTTTTTCCTGCATACTTCTGCATGTACATGTTATCTCCCCAATAGAATTAGAAGCTTTCTGAGGGCAAGGATTCTTGTTTTATCTTGTGCCTAATGCATAGTAGGTACTTAACAAATGTGTTGTGATTGAATGGCTAAAGAAATTGTAGGTTGTGAATTTAATGGAATATTACTGTATTGTAAGAAATGATGCGTAATTCAGAGAAACATGGAAATACCTGTATGAAGTAGTGCAGTGAAGCAAGCAGAACCAGGAAAATCAACTATTCCTTGACTACAGTTAGCCAACAAGCATTTATTAAAAGCACTAAGCTAGATGCCAGAGACATAGAGAAAAACATGAAGCAGCCCCAGCCCTCAAGGAGCTTACATTCTATGGGGGAAACTATATGGACTATTAGTTAAATGTATACACAAAATAAATATCATGTAATTTTTTTTTTAAGATTAAGGTCCTAGCATCTGGGGCTGGGGCAGGGTAGGGGCAGGATTCAGAATTTGTAAAGGCTTCATTTAGAAAGTATAATTTCAACAATTTTGAAGGGAACTGGTGCAGCATGGGAAATAGCCAGTGCCAACGCAGGGAGGTGATGGAGGGGCTGTAATGGGTGGGAGAACAGCATGGGGCTGGGCTGTAGAACGTAGGCAGTGGAGTAATACACCAAACCCCTCACTTATGCTATAAATTTCTTTAAATGGGTAAATGTTTTAAATATAAAAGATCATATAAGAAAATTAGAGGTGACTATAAGGCTGTATCTTTCAACCTACCTTTTCAACAGGTTAGGGAGAGAATTCATAACCACACGGGTCAACCTCGTAAAATTTAGTCCCTGATAGGAGTCGTCTAAGACAGCCTCTATTTTTCAGATGAGGTCACTTGAGAACCAAAGTGGTAGAGTGATTTGTCCAAGGCCACACAGTAAAGTAGTAAAACCGGACTTTGAAGCTAGATCCATACTTTTTTCTGCTCTCCTGCTGCTTCTTAAGGGATAGAGATTACAAAAGACAGTTTTGATTGTGTCAAATTATAAAGCTTTTACCCCACCAAATCAATGCCACTTAACCTAAGAGATTATGGATTGGGGGAAAACATCTTTGTATCAGAGACTTCTGATAAAAACCTGACATCAAAAATGTACGTGGAAAAAAAAAAGTACAAAATGTACATGGAACTAACTCAAATATATAATCCAAAAGACATGTGGTTAAAGGCTATAATTTTCAAAAGGAGAAATGCAAATCATTAACCACATTAACATTTTCAGTCACTTTCTAATGAAATAAAATGAAAAAATATGCAAATTAAAATGTCTGAGGTATTATCTCACACCCACCAAATTGGCTAAGATGGTAAGAGGTCAGAAGCAGTCAATGTTGGAAGGGCTGTTCACTAAATGTATTGATGAAATTAAACTTACTCAATTTTTGTGGACAACAATTTTGAATGATGCAAAAAAAGGTGAAACTGATGAGCACAGTAACCTAGTGTCTGATAAACCCAAAGATCCCAGCTATTGGAGCAAGAACTCACTGTTTGACAAAAAATGCTGGGAAAATCTGGAAAGCTGTCTGGCAGAAACAAGGCATAGAACAACATCTCACACTGAATACCAAGATAAAACTCCAAATGTGTACATGGTTTAGACATAAAGGGTGACATCATAAGCAAATTAGGAGAGCAAATTACTTGTCAGTTCTATGGAGAGTGAGAGTTCGTGACCAAACAAGAGACAGAGAGGCTCACGTGAGGTAAAATGGATAATTTTAGTTACATTAAATTAAAAACAAATACAGCCAGAGTTAAAAGGAAAGCAGGAAACTGGGGAAAATTTTTTGAGATAAAGGTCTTATTTCTCAGGTATATAGGGAACTCAGCCAAATTTACAAAAATAAAAGCCATTCCCCAATTGCCAAATGGCCAAAGGATATTAACAGGCAGTTTTCAGAAGAAATCAAAGTTCTCAATAGTCATATGAAAATGTTCCAATGATCTTACAAAAACATGGAAAGATTTGCACGAAATAATGAACAACAGCATAAGCAGAACCAAGAGAACATCGTATACAGTTAACAGCAATGTTGTTTTAAGAATGACTGAGCAAATAAGTTATTTTATTTTTTTAAATTAGACAGTTGGCTTAAGTGACTTGCTTAGGGTCACACAGCTAGTGTCAAGTGTTTGGTCTGAGGCTGGATTTGAACTCAGGTCCTCCTGACTCCGGGGCCAGTGCTCTATCCACTGTGCCACCGGTTATTTTGATTATTATAAATACCCAAACAAACCAGAAAGACATATGAAGAAAGATGCTATTTGCATCCAAAGAACTGCTAAATAGATACACTGAATAATTTTGTGTGTGTTTTATGATAGCTATTTCTAGGGGAGTGAAGAAAAAAAAGGAAAAAAGAAATTTATATAACTTTGTTACGTGCTTGTTTTATTCCACAAATTTAAAAAAAACGGAAGAGAAAAATGTCCTAAATCACTATTACAGAAATACGAATTAAAACAACTCTGAGGCACACCACCTCATACCCACTAGATTGGCTAACAGAAAAGGAAAATGACAAGTGCTGGGTTAGATAAGGAAAAATAGGGACATGAATGCTCCATCGGTAGAGCTGTGAACTGGTCCAAGCATTCTTTTTTTTTTTTGGCAATTGGGTTTAAGTGACTTGCCCAGGGTCAGACAGCTAGTAAGTGTCAACTATTTTGTCTAAGACCAGATTTGATCTCAAGTCCTCCTGACTTTAGTGCTAGTGGTCTATCCACTGCACCACCTAGCTGCCCCCGGTCCAAGCATTCTGAAGAACAATTTGGAACTATGCTCAATGGGCTAATCAAACTGTGCATACCCTTTGATCTAGCAATATCACTACTAGGTCCATATCCGAGAGATCAAAGAAAAATGATGTGTATATACAAAGCACTCATAGCAGCTTTTTGTGGTGGCAAAGAACTGGAAACTGCCAGACAGCCATCAGATGGGGAATGGCTGAACAAGTTATGGTACAGTATATGATTGAGATGGAATACTATTATGCTGAGATGATGAGGGGGATGATTTCAGAAAAACCCAGGAAGACCTATGTGAATTAACATAGAGTGAAGTAAACAGAACTAGATCATTGTACAGAGTAACAGCAACACTATAATGATGATCAACTGTGAAACCTAACTCATAAATACAACGATCGATGACAGCTCCCAAAGATTCATGATGAAAAATGCTATCTACCTATAGAGAACTGATGGATTCTGAGTGCAGACTGAAGCATATTTTTTTCTTCCCACGTGGTTAACGTGGAAATGTTTTGCATGACTTCATATGCATAATGGGGGGGTAAGGAGGGGGAGAGGGAGGGAGAGAGGGAGAGGAAGAGAGAGAGAGAATGAATTTGAATTTGGAATGGTGGGTGGGAAATCAAACTATTCATACCCTTTGATCCAGGGCATATACTTAATGTAGGAAGGCATTGTGATATAGTAGAAAGAACTCTGACTCTGGTCAGAGAGCCTGGGTTCAATTCAAACCTTTAACATTTACCACCTGTGTCACTGGGAAGTCAGATAACCTCTCCCTGGACTTCAGCTTCCTCAGAAGAGGGTTGGATTAAATGAACCCTAAAGTCCCTTTCACCTCTAGATCTAAGATTGCCCTCCCTCCTCCTCCCACCAATCAGTAAGAAGAGACCCTAGCAGGGGTGGGGGAACCTGTAGCGGTTTCTAGTTTCTAGAAATTTGTTCCTATACATACAAAAGCATTTACAGCAACACTTTTTAATAATAGCAAAAAGTTGGAAATAGAGTTATCTCTGGGGTGTGGAATGATTGAACAAAATTGTGGTATAAGACTGTAATTTACATTCCTTACTCATTTCCTTATTGTGCCATAAGGAATGAAGAACATGAGGAATTTTGAGAAACATGGAAAAACCTGTGTTAAATGATGCATGTGGAATATACATGAAGGCAATAATGTAAATGAAGACATCACCAAAAGAAGACAAGAAAACTCAGATCAAATATAATGGACAACGGTTGTTCTGGATAGCTCAAGTTAAAACACAAGTCCATGTTCTTTGTTAAGAAATGGTTAACAACCAATGTGGACTGGTTCTCTTAGTCACTCTATCAAAAAATTTGGCTTAACTGCCTTTTTTTTGGCGGGGAAGGTGGGGGAAGAGATACTATGGCATTTGCGGGGAAGGGAACCATAGTGTGCATGTACATGTGTGTTGTGAAGTTAAATGGTTGTGTAAAAGGAGGCAGGGCCAAGATGGCAGGGTAGCAGGAATCAATATGGTGAGGTCCCAAACTCCTCCAAACAGATGCAGAAAATGCACCAGACTGAATCCTGATGGGAATATACAAAAGTCACAGTGAATAAGACAGACTAAGAGAGACACTGGGGACAGTGTATGGCCGGGTGGGGATTTTAGCACCCAAGGAGGGGCTGTGAATCCACAGGGGGCACCAGGTACAGAGTTTCGGGAACAGGTACCAACTGGCAGTTTTGTCACCCACTTCCTGCTTCCAGGTCACAGATCCAAGTCAGAATGAGAAGGGCAATTGTGTTCAGGGTGGTTTTCCAGAGTAGGGAGTGGCTGAGTGGTTGCTGGTCTTGGGTTGGGTCAAGGAGCAAGTTCAGAAGCAGCAGCTCCAGCATGGCTCAGATCCGAGGAGCAGAGCAAGATCTCAGTTCCAGCCTTTAGCCCATTCTGAAGCCTGCAGAGGAAAAACCAGAGCAGAAATCCTAGACCAAAAGGGAGCCTACAGTGCTGTCATTTTGAACCTGTAGAGCTTCCCAGATGGCTCACAGTGGCTGAGTCCAGTCAGCCCAGGGGGCAACAATCAGACACTGTACTGTATGTGACCACTCAGGGAGCACTGAAGGCTTATATTTCCCCAGCCTGAGATCTTGGAACAACACAAGAAAGCAGCAGCAGGCCAACCCAGAACTTCTCTCTGGCAGTGTGTGCAGCCCAGCCCTAAAATACTCCCCCATCTATTCTCCTTCAAGTCATGGGAGCATAGATTTCAAGCTGGAAAGTATCTTAGATGTCAGAGTCCTACTTTCTCATTTTACAGGTCAGGAAACTGATGTTAAATGACTTGCCCAAGTTGATACAAATTAAGTAGTAGATGATAACATGCAAAGTACAGCAAAAGCAGCCTTGCTTCTCTGATGTCCTTCCTGATCCCTTATCAAGATAAGGAAGCAACTCTGGGCTCCCAAAGACTATGGCCCTAGAGCACAAACTGGCAGATTCTACCAAACTGGGAAGGCTTTGAATACAAGCCCCAGTGATTGCCTATGAACTTATCTGAGGTCCACCCAGCTTCGATAAGTAGGCAGCTTCATCACTAGGTTAGTCACCAAGCGATCACCATAGCAAAGACTAGGTGGAGGGAAATCCTCTGTCATGAAATTATCCTCCAAACACTGAAACAGCTTTATTATTTTCAAGTAGGAGAGTAAGGAAATGATAACTGGCTATAATTAGCACCTTAGAGTCTGTTGGTACTGGCGTAGCAAGGTTTTTTTTCAATAGACAGTTAATAAAAGAAACTGTTAGCTCAGAGGCCAAATTATCACACTTCCCTGGTTGGACACTCGTATTAGTAAGTTTCAATGACTTTGTATAAATAATTGCATTTTTTTAACCTAAAAGATTAGAAATGTTATGTGTCACAAAGACACTTAAATAACCATGAGTCCCACTTTAATAAAATGTGACAAGTTACTAACTTGATCACAGAGCCTTTAAAAATAGTCTTAGCAGGAAACATCAAAAAAAGAAAAAGGGGGGGAAGCATTTACAGAACAGGCCACAGTTACACAGTCATCCAGAACAAACACAAATGAGTCCTCTTCCTCGGGGCCACAACACTGAATGTTGTAGGAGTCTATTTTGTCCAGCTGACTTTGGGGATATCATAATGTTCAGTAAGAGTGTCTAAATGTCTGTTGAAGTCCTAGAGGGGAGGAAGAAAAGAAAGTGCTTCAGCACAAGACCAGAAAAATTATACAAATTTCCTATCTTGGCTGCTACTTCCCAAAGCGTCCTCTCTTCCAATTAATACATTCTGCCCTCCGATCCCCATTGTAACGTAAGCTGGAAGCTCTTCCCTTTTGCTAATACAAATCCACAAAGGGGCAGTGGCAAAATGGAAAGAACGTGGGCTTTGGAGTCAGAAAACAGGTTCAAATCCTAAATCTGGGCCTTACTGTGTCACCCTGAGTAAGTCTCTCTTCTACTCAGTGAAACAGAAATAAATACTTGCAATATCTGCCACACCTGGCTATTGTGGCTAAAGTGTTTTTGTAAATAAACCCCAAAGCATTTTATAAAGGTGAGCTCCTATTATCAATTATACCTCCCTGGAAATCCTTTTCCCCATCCACTATCTCCCTCATATTTACATATCTGGTGTGCTGGTTTGCAAGAATTCTCACCTAATCAAGCTACAAGAAAATCAAAAATGCCTCTACTCAAATTCTCCTGCCTTCTACCACTATTTCTTGCCCTACTCACCACTGAAGGTGATACAATACAACATATAGGACTCAGAATGCTTGCTAAAAGCTACTGGTTCAGCCATAGTATTTTATTGCTTGGTAATTCTTACCTCCACCCTTTGCTTATGAGTTTTGGATGCCTTCTTTAAGATTCTTTCCATTTGCTTAAAGGGAAAAAAAAAAGAAAGGTTATAAATTCACACATCCTAACCACCAACTGGGCCCACTAAGAGCAGGGAGGTATAACTCTCATGGAACTAACTGCCCTCTGTAACATTTTGAGTGGTTTCTTGAAATGTTATAGAGGGCAGCTAGTGCCATAGTTAGATAATTTAATGCATTGCTGACAATTGCCAGAAAAATGTTACAGTAGGGGTTTGAAGGATTTTTAAACACTGTAGTTATAATATATTAAACAAGTTGTTTCTGAACAATATTGGGCAGGGGATAAAATTATAAAGCACAATGACACTTCCCTTCCTATGCCTCTCAACTTCACCCCTACCTATTCCACCACTCTCCACATTCTGAGAAACTCCCATTGTTGTAAACAAACTGTTCCACATCCTCTCTCTTCTTAAAGAACATCACGTGTAGAAAATACCTCACAGATCATCTAGCTGCACCCACTTAATTCCAGATGAGGTAACTGAAGCCCAGAGGAGGTGACCTGTCTAAAGCTGCTCATGGAATTAGTTACGCAGTATAGTGTGTATCCATTCCTCCCCCGCCCCATGACTACAGCTTTGGCCTCCAAAATATGTCCTTCGAACATGGCTAGATAAGTCTTTCTCATACAAAGATTTTTGTGTGTATTAGGTGGCACAGTGGAAAAAGCACTGGACTTGGGAGTCAGAAAAGTTTGGACCTTAATTTCTGCCTCAGACAGTTATCAGCTGTTGTGATTCTAGGTAAATCACTACAACTCTCTCAGCCTCAATTTCCTTATCTATAAAAGGGGGTTAATAACTGGACCTACTTTGCAGGGTTGTTGTGAGGATCAAATAATATACTATAGCTAAAGAGCTTTGCAAACCTTAGCGCACCATTAAATACTTGATGTTCTCTGCTTTGATATTTTTATGGTTCCATATGGCCTACTGTGGTAGTCCAAAAAACCTTGCCTCTAGGCTGCCTCTGCTCTGCATAGTCCTTTCTACATGTCCTAGTCTCCTACCTCTTCCTAGAACCTTTTGTATCTGGAACCTTACATGTTGAAAGCTTCCATGCCTTATGGAAGGCGATCAATCTCTATATCTTCTTCATCTACGACATCAAGGTAAAAAAAAACCAATCAGACCCTTCTGGGCATGGGCTCTTGTCTCATGTAAACTTTCTATTTCCCCAGCAGAGAATATAGGGCTCTGCACACAGTAGGTGTTTTTTTTAAAATAAATGTTCTGTGAAGGATTAGAGACCATCTGGTTGAACCTTCTCATGTTATAACTGAGGAAAATGAGAGAGGGTTAATTTTTATTATAGTTGTGAGTACATAGTTATATAGTCTTTTTACAGATTTTTTTTACATTTTACAGATAAGAGAACAGTTCACAGCTCATGTCAGAGACGCAATCTGAACCAAGTATTTTCCTACAAATTACGCCTAACTCTGCCTCTCAGTCACTCAATGCCCCCATCGACCTCTCCTGCTTGTATTTCTGCCTAAGGCAGGCAGAACATATAAAATTTCTTTTCCACATGACAGATACCTAAATGCAGCTAGAAATGCAACACTTTCTCTTCTTCCCCATGCCCCCCCTTCCCCCCCCCCCGTATTCTGTTCTCTAGGTTAAAAACACCCTGGGTTCCTTCAACGTTTCTCCATGATCTCCAGTCCCTTCAGGTTCCTGGTCACTCTCCTCTGGCTTACCAATGTGTTTCATAAACAGTGGCACTCAGAACCGAACAAAGACCCCAAATGTAGTGAGAGACTCAGGCAGAAAGGCGATCCCCGCCCTCCCTCCGTTTTAGCTGCTGTCCAAGGTTCTCAACCTTGTTTGTGTCAAGGCCCGTGGGCAGTCTGGGGGAAGCCCATGGCGCCCTTGCCAGAACACTGTATAAGATAAAATGCCTCCATCGCTCACCCTCTTCTCCTGCATCTTCTCGTAGGCGATCTGCGCCGGCGTCCGCTTGTCCAGCCCCCTCCGCTTCTCCTCCTCGTTCTTCTTGCTCGTCACGATCTGCTCCAGAACCTTGCTCTTGTCCTTGTCCTTCCTCTTCTTCCTGGGAGAGCAGACGGACGGACGGATGGTTGGACGGACGGACAGACGAGGCCTCACTCGGCACCAGGTAAGGGCTAGCTTTAGGCCTCGGACCCTGCCTCCCGCCCCACCGCCCCCGTATCCCCTGCGGCCCCGACGCCGCCGTCGCACTTACCGCTTCGTTACGCCCAGTTCCGATACCCCTTTAAGCTTCAGAGCGCTCCTCTGTACCTGCTCGTACTCCGCCATACCGGCAGCTTCCGCCCAGCGCTGCTCCTACCTCACTTCCTGTTTAGGGTCCACGCGGGGCACGACGGGAAGGACGCGAATCGCGCCTAGGGTGGGGTCCTTTTATGCCTACGGACGCCGGGGCTAAGGAGAGGCGGGCCAGAGCGCCGCGGAGCACGTCGGGAAGTTAGATAGTGGGCCTGCGCTGCGTAACTGCTGAAGGGATTGAGTGGCTCCAGTGGAGGACGGAAAATAGGCCGTGCGCCTGCGCGAGGTGCCTGCGGCTAGAGGGCGGGGGAGCGGACTTGTATTCCCTTTGGAGAGACGGAAAAGCTTTGTGGAAGACGAAGCTGTTTGGGTTGTTGGTCCGCCCCGACCATTGGATGTGTAACATTAGGCACGGTCCCCTCAGACGCTCAGTCTCCCCTCTATCCGTAAAATGATCGTTCCCATTCTCTTGATTTCAAGGAGCATTTGTAGTGTCCTCAGATATTTACTAGCCGTGTGACCTTGGGCAAGTCACTTAACCTGTGATTGCCTCAGTTTCTTCCTCTTTAAAATGGAGATAATAACATCATGTACTTCTCAGGGTGGTTGTGGGGCTCCAAAGCGCTTAGCACAGTGCCTGGCACGTAGTAGGTTCTCAGCAAATGCTAGCTAGTATTATTACTGTGTGGCAGGCTCTGTGCTAAGCGCTGGGAAGACAGAAACAAATATATACCATTTCCTGGAGAATAGGGCTGTCCCCTAGACATGTAAAGACAGGTTTATTTGGAGAGAAATCAACAATTCGAAGGTGAGGAGGCGGTGGCTATCAGGGAAGGCTTCCCATAGGCCGTGACATGTGAGCTGAGCTGTTGTCTGAAGCCAGGTTTCCCAAGGGGAGGAAGTTTATGCCACGGATCTTGGATGCATCCAGGCTTATCCGTGTCTAAATCCTCTCATTCCCCTCCTCCCTCCTAGCAGAGAACCTCACCCCATATTTCACTGGAAAAATGGAGGCCATGTCTCCATCAGCTCCATCTGGTCACTCATGTTCCATCCATACTGACCCACTTGTTGAACTCAGTATTTCGTCCCTCTTTGCCTCTGTGTCAACTGTCCTCCATGTCTCACTTTTTTTTATTTGCTGTTATATCCCCAGCTCCTCCTGTAGCGCCGTGCATGTAGTAGATGCTTCATAAATGCTTACTGAATGCCATTTCATCTCTGTAGGAAGCTCCCCAGGTCTCTAACAATGCACATCTACTACTGTTCTGCAGTTTATAGTCTTATAGAGGTTGTCTTGTAGAAGAGAAGGGAATCTAAATTTTGTTGTTGTTCGTCCTTTATTCTTTTTTTTTAGCATTTATATTAATTTATTTTTAGTTTTCAACATTCACTTCCACAAGATTTTGAGTTCCAAATTTTCTCCCCATCTCATCCCTTCCCCCACCCCGAGATAACCTGCATTCCAAATACCCCTTCCGCTAATCTGTCTCCCTTCTATCTCCCACCCTCCTTCTCTTATCCCTTTCTCTTTCTGTTTTCCTATAGGGCAGGATGGATTTCTATACCCCATTACCTGTATATCTTATTTCCCAGTTGCAGATGAAAACAAAGGAATCTAAATTTTTCCAGGCATTATAATCCTGGAATTGAGCCAACTAGGAAAGATTTCTTGGGTCTTGGGTTGCTTCCAGAGTTAGCCCAAGCTTGAGAGTGAACAGATTTGGCCTTCTAGAGAGAAGGGGGAATTCCTGAGCAATGCATCTCTCTCTCTCTTTTTTTAATCAATTTATTTTTAGTTTTCTTTTTTTTCTTTTTTTAAAAAATTTTTTAAATATAAATTTATTTATTTTTAGTTTTCAATATTCACTTCCACAAGTTTTTGAGTTCCAAATTTCTCACCCCTCCCCCTACCACAAAATAGCATTCATTCTGAATACCCCTTCCCCTGGTCTGCCTTCTCTTCTATCTCTCCCCCCTCCCTTCTCTTATCCCTTTCCCTTCTATTTTCCTGTAGAGCAGGATAGACTTCTGTACCCCATTTCCTGTATTTCTTATTTCCCAGTTGCATGTGAAAACATTTTTTTAAAAAACATGTGTTTTTAAAACTTTGAGTTCCACATTTTCTCCCTTCCTCCCTCCCCACCCACCCTCATTGAAAAGGCAAGCAACTCAATATACTTTGTACATGTGCAGTTATGCAAAACACTTCCTTAGTAGACATGTTGTGAAAAATTAACTCTATTTCCCTTAATCCTATCCTGCCCTCCCATTTATTCTATTCTTTCTTTTGACCCTGTCCCTCCTCAGAAGTATTTGCTTCTGATTACCCTCTTTCCCAATCTGCCCTCCTCTCTATCACCCTCCTGCTCCTATTTTCCTGTAGGGTAAGACAGATTTCCATATCCAATTGAATGTGTGTGTTATTCTCTCCTTAAGCCAAATCCTATGAGAATAAGATTCCTCATTCCCTCTCACCTTCCCCTGTTTCCCCTCCACTGTAGAGACTTTTCTTTTCTGTTTTTTTGTGAGATAATTTACCCCATTCTACCTCTCCCTTTCTTCTCCGAGTATCATCATCTCATGATCATCCCTTAATCTTATTCTCCAGATATGACCCCTTAATCTTCAACTCACCCTGTGCCCTCTATCTATCTATCTATCTATCTATCTATCTATCTATCTATCTATCTATCTATCTATCTATCTATCTATCTCTCTATCTATCTATCTATCTATCTGTCTATCTACATACATACAAACAATTTTTGTCCTTCAACTACCCTAATACTGACAAAGTTCTCATGAGTTACAAATATCATTTTTCCATGCAGGAGTGTAAACAGTTCAATCTTAATATGTCTCTCTTTCCTGTTTACCTCTTCATGTTCCACTTGAGTCCTGTATTTGAAAGTCAAATTTTCTATTCAGCTCTGGTCTTTTCATCAAGAATGCTTGAAAGTCCTCTATTTCACTGAATGACCATTTTTTCCCCTGAAGGATTGTACTCAGTTTTGCTGGGTAGGTGATTCTTGGTTGTAATCCTATCTCCTTTGCCTTCCGGAATATTATATTCTATGCCCTGCAGTCCTTTAATGTAGAAGCTGCTAAATCTTGTGTTATCCTGATTGTGTTTCCACAGTACTTGAATTGTTTCCTTCTGGTAGCCTGTAATATTTTCTCCTTGACCTGGGAACTCTGGAATTTGGCTACAATATTCCTAGGAGTTTTCCTTTGGGGATCTCTTTCAGGAGGAGATCTGTGGATTCTTTCAATTTCTATTTTGCCCTCTGGTTCTACTATATCAGGGCAGTTTTCCTTGATAATTTCTTGAAAGATGATGTCTAGGCTCTTTTTTTGATCATGGCTTTCAGATAGTCCAATAATTTTTAAGTTCTCTGTCCTGGATCTATTTTCCAGGTCAGTTGTTTTTCCAATGAGATATTTCACATTGTTTTCTAATTTTTCATTCTTTTGGATTTGTTTTACAGTGTCTTGATTTCTCATAAAGTCACTGTCTTCCAATTGCTCTATCCTAATTTTTAAGGAAGTATTTTCTTCAGTAATCTTTTGGACTTCCTTTTCCATTTGGCCAATTTTTCTTTTTAGGGCATTTTTCTCCTCATTGGCTTTTTGGACCTCTTTTGCCATTTGGGTTAGGCTGTTTTTTAAGGTGTTATTTTCTTCAGTATTTTTGTGGGTCTCCTTTAGCAAGCTGTTGACTTGTTTTTCATGATTTTCTTGCATCACTCTCATTTCTCTTCCCAGTTTTTCCTCTACTTCCCTTACTTTCTTCTCAAAGTCCCTTTTGAGCTCTTCCAAGGCCTGGGACTGATTCATATTTTTCTTGGAGGCTTTGGATGTAGGAGCTTTGATTTTGTTGTCTTCTTCTGGTTGTATATTTTGATCTTCTTTTTCACCAAAGTAAGATAATATAGTCTGACTCTTTTTTGCGCTGCTTACTCATGATCCCAGCCAATTACTTGAGTTTTAAACTCTTTGTTAAGGTAAGAGTCTGCTTCCAATGTGGAGAGTGTACTGTCCCAAGCTTCAGGGGTTTGTACAGCTGTTTTCAGAGATACTTGTAGGGACCTGTAAAGTTTTAGTTCTCACAAGGTGGTATGATAAGGGGCGAAGTGTTTACTCCTTGGGTGCTACTGTGTACAACGTTCTCCTGGTTCTACTTGCTTCACTCAGCATCAATCCATACAAGTCTTATCCAGGTGTTTCTGAAATCTGCTTAGAGCAGTATATCTCTTGGAGAAACACAGGGATTTCCCATGCAATCCCAACAGCTTCAAATGAACTAAAGCTGTTTTGTGGGAGTATAATAAGTTGGGACCTTGCCACCCACTATAATTGTGAATTATTTGAACAGTGCAGGTGTGCTGGGAAAGGAGGACATATATTTTCTTCCTGAAGGAAGTCCAAAACAGTGACACAATCTGAGAGGACCTGTGTTGAAACCTGTTGGAGGAGTTCACTGTTGGGATCTTTCCCCACTGGCAATTCCAAGTTTAGTTCTCTTCTGAGAAAAGTTTATTGGCTCTTATGAGTGCTTTATATTTTCTGCATCAATTTATGGGACTCCAATGAATGCTTTGAATCTTTTATATTTTCTGCATAGTGAAATAAACGGTCTTCTACCAGATATGCATTTGTTACCTTGAGTGCTTGTAATAAAGCTGGTGACTTTTGTCATTCACATTTGTGGAAACCGAGATAATAAGCATATTTGGAGATTTCTTGAGTTAACTCTGAGTGAGGGCAACAAGTCAAAGAAAATAGACCCTTTTGGGGTCAACCCTTCTGGATTGGACTCAGTCCATTTGAACCCAAGCTAGGATCCACGAAATGCAGCTAGGATAGCAGATTTAGGACTGGAAAAGACCTTTGGATTAGGAAAGAAAACTTCAGCTGCTTTCCTTCTATAGATCATAAGCCTAGAGTGGCAAAGGACCCCTACTGGGGAATCTAGTACAACCACCTCCTTTTACAGATGAAGGAAATGAAATTAAGTGACTTGCTTAAAATTAAATCACTAGAGGGGCGTCTTGGTGGCACAGTAGATAGAGCAAGCACCGGCCTTGGAGTCAGGA